ACCAATATGATTTATCATACTTAACATAAAAAAAAAAAACAAATTCATTCAAAAAATTAAGTGAACAAACCCAATATATATAAAAAACAATGAGAGAAATATTAAAATATTATATACATAACAAATGAAATTACTGACCAAAGATCGAACAACATGTAGCTAATGGGTTATCGGGAGTATTTGAAGTGTGAATTATAAGTCATGACCATATAAATGATAGTGTGTTGTTAGCGGAGAGGTATGAATGACGGACAAATATTAACCTTTATATAGGTCTACTCGTATTTTATTTAAACGTAAGTAATTAATGACATTTTTAAACAAAAATTATAGTCGTGATCTAATGCGATTCAATTTAAGATTTTATTGATAAAAAAATATTAACTAAATTATTACTCTATCTGTTAGTGATAGTAGTATATGATTTTGTTTTTTTTTTTTTTTAATTTTTTTATGAAAATGGTGACTTATATTATTAAAATAGAAATTAATATATATAATTAACAAATTTTAAAATAAATATTTAAATATTTAAAATATAATATCTCAATAAAATATATATAATATGAATATTATTTTGTAGATAATAAGTATATATTATGATTAAATAAAAAATATTTTTCTTTATTTATGATTAATATAAACTAATCTTTTTTAGAAAAATAGAGAATTATATATAAATATAAATAAAAATATTTTTTTATTGAAGAGGGAGTTAGAAATATAGTGATTTTGAAAAAAATTGAGGAGAAAGATAAAAATAAAAGAATTTTGTATGAAATTGAAGATGGATAAAAATAAAATTTTTTTGAGTGAATTGAAATTAGAAATTTAATTAAATTGATTTATATTTGTTAAATATATTTATTATTACTAAATTTATTAAAAATAAAAGTATATCAACTGTTATAATATACTAAAATGAAAAATGTATCCCCGTGTAGGAAGTATATTATAACAAAATTAAGAATTGTACTTTTATTTATAATTCAATCATCGTTTGTTTTGACTTATCTTATTAATAATAATAACTATAATTAATTATAACAAATAAAATTGTTTTCTTTTTTTTTTTTCTTTTAATCATTATTGTTTTATTTATTATTTATTTAAATATATTTCAATTTCTTTATAAATGGGCAATAATTACATGGGGTTTGCTCACATTCTACTTTTGAGTCCACAATTTTTATAAGTATTATATAAAAATATAATATATACATATATTAACACAATATATAATATATATTTTATTAATTCACAAAAATTTTAATACAAAATAAATTTTAATACAAAATATATTTTATATTTATATTATAAGATATTAATAAAAGTATATTATTTTTTAATTTTTTAATTTTATATTATATTTTAATTTAATAATTAATATTTAAATATTAATATGCAAAAATATTTTTATTGTAGGAAGAAGATAGTCTATTTATTCTTTGTTCTTATTTGGAAAATTTTATTGAATGCATGGCAAGTGTAGTGATTATGGTTGGATATTATCATTGTACATCGGAAAGTAAATTATGTCTATAAATTTTATATATGTATCCCATATATATGGTATGCAAAATTATTTTCCAATTTTCAAATGTTTAAAAGAATGTTTTGTTCTTTTTATCATTAATTTTTAATTGCGATTTTCTAAAAATAGTAATAAACAATACAAAATATTTTTTATAAAAATAAAAAAAAATAAAATTCAAATACTCATTACAAAAATTTAAATATTCAACTTAAAATAATATTCTCTTGTCCCAAATCAAATGGACCATTTGGAGTTTTATAGTAGATTTAAAAATAGTAATATTTTATTAGTTAGTAAAAAATTGTAAGGGTTTTTAACATTTTTACCATTTGACTTTATATATAAAATAATTATACGTAAGTTAAATATATTTTGATATTAGTATATGATTATTTTTTCTAAAATAAGAAAGATATATTTTGAAGTTGAAAAAACAGAAACAGTAAAAATAGTACTTTAAATTGGAACGGATGAACTATATTTTATACTTTTGACACAATTCTCTGTATCATACACAAAAAGTCAATCTATCAAAAAATGTTGGGTTAACGGAGCATTGGAATTCAAGTTAAATATTTAATTTAAAATAATATATTTTATTTTTTATTTGAAATTGAAGTGATGATTTGAATTTTAATTTAAATAATTTTTTATTATGAAAAAATAATATAATTTTATTGAAAATCGTGAGAATGAATAGTAAAATTTTAATTTGAAAAAAAAAAATTATACACACCCTGTGATTGCATTATATAACGATATAAATAAAATCTTCAATTAAATTGCATTAGATCACGATTAAAAATTTTATATTTAAAAGAGTTATTAATTACTTACGCTTAAAAATAATACAACACGATCTATATAAAGGTTCATGTGTATTGGCCTTTCATACTTCCATATACATATATCATTTATATGGTCACGTAATTTGTATTTCAAATACTTGCGGATAAACCATTAGCTATATGTTTCTATTCAATGGCAAATACGTTGAATGGTTCGATCTCCGATGAGTAATTTCATTTGTTATGTATATTATTTTTTAATAATTTTCTCATTTATTTATTTATTTATAATTTAAAAATCAGTGTCATTATTTTTCCTCGTTGTTCCCTATATACATTTGTTCTCTTTTTTCTTTTTTATATAAATTAAAACTCAAATTTATTTCATCAAGACGCTTCCTAAAAGAGGATTATAAAATTTATATTTCAGTTCTAATGTTAATTTATGTTTGCTTTTGGATACTTTTGTACTTTCTCTGTCCCAAATGACAAACATCGTGCAACATTTGTGTTTGGCACGAGAATTTAGATGAGGAGTATTAAGTATGGTAATTTGAGATAATTTAGATATTAAGTGATGTGATTGGAGAGAGAAATGATTATTTATTTTTTAGTGATGTGATGGGATAAAGTGAAGTGTATATTAATATATGTATAAAAATATTATTAATTATTTCTAAATTTAGAAATATTGCAGTGAGTTTGGAACAAACAAAAAAAATAAATGTTGCAGAGTGTTTGAGACGAAGGGAGTATGTTATATGAATTACTAATTGCTAAATTTTTCTCTGATTTTATTAGTATTATTTATATTTTTAAATAGTAACATAATTATTGGCATAAAAATATTCTTTTAGGTAATTTAAAAAATATTTTTTTAGTAAAATAAATATTATCGTAATTTATGTTGATAATAATTTAGAGTTTGACTAAATCACTTAAATAGTATATGAAATTATTAGAATATATATATATTTTTTATATGTTTTTTCAAGTGATATAATTGCATTATTATTATTATTATCTTTTTTACCAATTTAAAATTTTGTTACTAATTTTGTAAATAGGAACATAACTATTGGCCCAATACACTCTAATGTGCTAATTGGGTGATTTGATTTAATCAACAAATATGTACGAAGAAAGTAGCAAAATTTAATTATTTTCGTCTCAAAAGAAAGATGTTATTTTTTTTTTTTAATTTTTGCTTATCTCAAAACAAGAGTGTTGTTTCCTAATTTAATAATAGCACCAATTTACTGAAAATAATAAATACTCTTATAATTTATAATATATTATACAAATATCATTACTTTTATATTGAGTAATATTAATAGGAGTATTTTTATCTTTATATTAATTTGGACTACGTACCAATGTAATAATAATATTAAAAAATCTACATGCAAAAAGCAAACAACACTATTTTTTCGGGATGAAAGAAGTATAATATATAACACATATTTTAATATCATATTATATAATTACATATAACCAAATATATTTTAATTTCAAAAAAATATATTCAAGTTTCAGCACAATAGTAATCAAATCAGCACAATGCTTAATTGATATAGTCAGCATTCTAACCGCCACCCAATTATAAATTTAGGCAATTGAAAATATATTTATTGAATAAAATTAATATTACCATATTTTATGCAGAAAATCATTTAATATTTTACTAAATTACTGAAATAGCAAGTGAAATTATTAAAATTCTTAATTTTCTTTTTTTTTTTTCCAAGTGATATTACTGCATTAATGTTTGTTACCAATATACAATTTTAGTTACCAATTATCCACAAACTAAAAAGGTAAAATATAATTAATCACATAATTTATAATTCAAAATTTCAACTATAAATAATCCCCAACAAAGTTATGAATTCATCATTACAGCTACAATAATTTCTTGAAACCCAAATCATAACAATGTTTTTAGCCCTTTTTGTTATTTAACGAGAGAGGATGACGATGTTGCTGAACTTTTTTGAGAAGGAAGATAAAGAAGTCTCAACCAATTTGTCATATTTTGGTTGGGGTTTAGCCAAAAGTCGAGTAGCGATTAAAGATTCTCATTATCAAAAAATAAAATAAAATGCATATTAGTTGTGGTTTACTCAAAGCGCACTCGTCGACTAGGGCTGCGGGAATGTCTTGGTTTGTTGAAATTCATTCCCGGTCCCGAATCAAGCTTAACAAGTAGTTCAATTTGGCTAAGGTATCCATCAACATCTTGGATTAAGATCAAGACGTTGAATGTGTTGCCTAGTTAGAGAACATTCATGCATCGATTGTCAATTGGAAAGAGCACATGGCAAATGGTAGAAGCGGCACCACTAATTAATCGAATGTTGTTGTTATCAAAGAATAAACAATTATGGAAAACTAGGGTGTGTTCACTTTGTATTTTTTAATGTATTATTTTTTTATATTAGATACAAAAAATCGTGTCGATAATATAAAAAAATAACATTTTATATTAAAATTTTTATTTTTATGGATGAATAAAATATATTATATTATATATGTTGTGCCAAAATGATATATTGTATTTTCAATACATAATTATAGAAAATTCGTATCACCATAAAATAAGTTTAGATGAACAAATATTTTTCTCAAAAAAAAAAAATCAAATGTATATTAACACGTATTTATATTGCACCAAACAAGTATTTTATTTAAAATTTTATTATTCAAAATCCAAATTAAATTCAAAACCAAAACCCACAAACAATCACACTTTCTTCGTCTCGTACAAATTAAATGAATTCGTTAACATACAATCAAATCATATTAAAGTTTATAGGAGTGTATCAGATCAAAGAAATTTGAAAAACTGTGATGGAAGAAGTTCAGCAAGCAACAATTACAGGGTTCATCGGAATGGAGCTGTCTCTATCGCACATATCTGCACCAAGATTCAAAACCCCTTCCTCCTGCAATTAATATTCATGAAAATAGTAAAAATTTGAATAAAAAAATAAAAAAAAATTTGATGAGACAATAAATAAAATTCGAATATAATATTTTAAATGAAAAATAAATTTTCGAATGATTGATATGAATTTCAAGAAAGTGAATAGTATAAAAATAAAATTGAAAATATAAGTAAACAGAGATTTATTACCTTGGCGATATTTCTAAAATACATTGTGGTGTAGTTTCCGGAAGGAAACAAAGCTTCAATGAGATCAGCAAGAACAAGATGAGGCTGAGAGATTGCTCCATCATACCAATCTTGATCAAGAAACATAAATTTAGTCATACTTACAGTGTAAATGGAGCAAAATTAAAGTGTAACAATTTTATCTTATCGATCATGCAAAAGCACGACACCTTATATATATATATATATGTTTGTCTATTGCAATCTATATACTCACCAAGAATCACTGAATTTTGAATCCTTTTGTCGAATCTCCATAGGCTTTGGTTCGCCATGAAACCAAAGCAAGATTGATCCTCGACGCTCAAGTTTTGAAGAAACGAGGAGGCATTGTACGCCGAAGGGTCGGGCACATATGTCTCATCAATTACAACGTCCAAAGTCTATGTTGTAATTGTTTTAAGAGCTTACTTAAACAAGTTATCGAAAAAAAAATGGTGAAAGGAAAAAAAATAAGGCACTTGTAATGGACACACTCACACATAAAATGGCATGAAATGCTTCCAAGTCATCTGGTATCGAAATGTTATATGTGATTTTGCTGATGGAGTCATCGATGTTTTCCCCGCCCGAATCCTCAACATACTACAAAAGCGCACGGTAGCAATAAGGCATAATATATATGCTTGATTAGGATAGATTGCACGAAAGAAAAAAAAATGTAATTTTTTTATGATAAGCTAATGGGCAGAAGTTGCTCTTGCTCGATACCTTTAGCTTGTATGTCTCTTTCGTGAACGACCACACTCCCTATATATATATATATATATATATAAAGAAATGCAAATCAGTCTTTTTGAAAATGAAATTGTAGAGAGTCGAAAAAATTAAGAATTGAAATAAAAGAACAAATTAAACTTTTTTACATCTTTGAACGCCATCCAAGCAACGATCGGCTTGAATAATGCTTTCTTGCTAGCTGCATATTTGCTTAAGCACATATAATTCTGCTTGATCTGCAATCAAGTCAAATATAGAAAAAGTGAAGATTTTTCGAAAGGCTTAGAGCAAAAAAATGGTATTCGATGTTGTTTTAGAATGCAAATGGTGTTTCGACAAAAGTTCTTACAAGTAGAAGCTCTAAAAACCAATTCTACAATTTCCTAAAATGTTTTTGGGAGAAAATTGCAAAAAAATCTCACACTTATACCCTATTATCACTTTTGTCTTGTATTTATCTCATTGGCAAAATATATCTCACATGTTTACAAAATTCGTTATTTATGTCCTTTGCCCGCGCGTGAAATTCACACCACGCGCCCTTACGCAAAATCACGCGCAGCCACGGGCGACCAAAGGATAGAAATAGCGACTTTTGCAAAAAAGATAAATACATAACAAAAGGAATAATGAGTATACGTGTGAGATATTTTTTGCAATTTTCCCATCTTTTTGGAAGTTCAGCGCTACTAAAATCTTCGAATCAAATTTTTTAATTGCTCACCGTATCATAGACTTGATTTGCTCGTGTTTCCATATTTGCAAAAACCCCAAGGTACTTGATCCATTCAGCTCTCTGAGAAACTCGACCATTGAATTAATTAGCATAAGCACAAGCACTTAATTAGAATTTCCAACACATTACAATATTACACATAAAACTTTGGTTGAGTTATACTAAATTAAATTAAATTACATTAAAAATTCTAGCCTCATCGAAAGTTTGCTCTCCATATATACCTGTAGAGCAGTCTCCTCCCCGGCCGGGAGAAATGTGGCGAAGTTGCACCATTGTTGCTGATCCGTGTTGGCGATAAAGTGCGCTGCAAATTTAGTCAGCTGCTGCGGCTCGCTTTTGTTCATAAGCTGAAGCTGGCCGTCGTTGTATAGCTTCAACACGCATTGAGATGCCACATAATCCGTCGTCACACCCTTTAAACTTCCTAAGAGTCCTAGAAGCTGTACTCATACATATGTACGTACTCATGAAATGATATATGAGAATAGTTAGGGCATTGATTAGGGCTAATCAATATATGAAAATAGAACATACAACATATGTGGTATATATTTTTAGCGTGTTTTCTATTTTAGTTTATATGTCTCTATTGTGGTGAGATTGATTGTAGTACGTGTTGTGCGGACTACGGTGCTACAATTGTGCTGTGTGAACAAACAATTACTTTTTTTTATTTTACTTTCTCTGTTGGTAAAATTATGTAAGTATAATTGAACATGAAAACTAAAATATAATATTTTATTCGTCTCAATTCAAAGTATATTTTTTTACCATTTTTGTCTGTTTTATTTCAAAGTATTATTTTTTATTTTAGTAAAAGTAATCATACATCAATACCAAAATACTCTTAACTTTTACCTAAATTACAAACATACTATTATATATACAATTACTTTTTTAAATTAAAGGATAAAAAGGTCAAAATCTCTTAAAATACTTCCCATAACTAATAAAATAATGTTATTTCATAATGTACTACAAAATCTCAAAGGGCTTTAGTTCTGTAATTGGACCCCTTTATCATTTTAGTGTCGTAGATAGTGGAGCATGTCGCAAACTAGTCTCATAAGTAAAAAACTGTCGTTGTTTTAGTTCTCCAGCGCCGGAGACGTCCGCATGGCTCACCGAAAGCCACGTGTCCGCCAGGTCATCGACGCCTAGTGGACAAGAGATTTTACTTCTTCTGTTTTTCATTTTTTAATTTTTTAATTTTTTTTTTCAATTGGACCAAATAAAAAATTAAAAAAAATAAAAATAAAAATAAATTTTAAAAAAACTAAAATTAAAAATATATAAATAATAAATAATAAAATCCACGTGTCCGCGACACCTGGCGGATACTTAGCTTCCAGCGAGCCACGTAGGCATCTTCGGCACCGGAGGACTAAAACAACGAAAAATTTTTCTGGGACTAGTTTGCTACAGACTTACTTACTAGGAAAAAAAAAAAAAAAAACAGTTTACTCTTCTAATATTAAATTGTGAGTGGATAAAAATATTTATTATAAATAGATTAGCTGAATGGACAGACAGAGTATTTTCCCATTTTAAGATAACTGCACAAAACATCTTTGTATGAATTTTGATTGCATAAATTACTCTCGAATTATCCTAATTAAATCATGCATAAGCACAATGTATATGGGTGAAGAATTTTGGCCGAATTTTACTATTTACTAATTTATTTTTCAAAAAAATAATCAAATACATAATTTTTTATTTTTTATATTATACTAACAATTAATTTTATATTCAAAACAACACATCAATACCTATTTATTTCATGTAATAAAATTATTCAAATTCAAAACTTTTACTATTCAAAACTCATATCCAAAATCCAAACCTCCGACAAAACACGATTTTTTGCTGACATGAAAGCGGGCCATACAACAAATTTACTTACAGAAAACAGCAACTCTCACCTCGAAGAAGGAAACTGTAGATGGAGGAGACATTAGTTAGTGCAGATATTGGAACATATGTCATATTCATATTTTCGTATCGTATTTATGTCGGGTTAAGTTAAAAGATAAAATATACAAACACAAATATGATTTTCATTTTGAAATTAAATTTAAATTTAAACATACAAACATGGCATTAATTTAATTAAGGTCGGATTTTTCTTGCCAACAATAACCTAAAATGAAAATAAATAACCAAACACAAAACATATTAGAAAAGTTACTGGACACTTGAAATTTTACTATATAATCTACTAAAAACTACAAAAATAATAGATACATATATATAACTAAATTAACAAGAATAAAATCATGATTTATAAATTAAAATTACAGTCAACATTTTGTTCAAAAGATCATTAATAAAAATAAGCATTTCGATGGAAAAAATTAACTAATCGTCTAACAATTTAGTCATCAAAATGGTTAAATGATGTCCAAAATGGTTAACTCAAGCTGATTTTTAGAGAAACCAAAATCATCTTCATTCGGATCTTTACTTTTCAAGTCGAACATGCTCATATTTTTTTATCGTGTTCAAAATTGACACCCCTATATATTCGCGTGGGACAAAAATTAAATCGGTAATGAAATGACCTGGAAAATAGTCGGCGTCAATGGAATAATTGGATAATGGAATGACGAATGACTTTATCCTTGAAGTGCAATATTTTGTTTTCGTTGCCATCTTTGAATTGTTCTGTGCAAAAAAAAAAAAACTATGGAAATCAATAAATTAATTAGCAACGAGGTTTGAAAATTCCTAAGTCTAAATAAAAATAGTAAAACAAATACTCCAAAAATAATTGTATACTTTATGCATGGACGAAGGGAGTATATTTCTAGCTAGTATGATATGTGGCAATTTTGGTAATCTTGATTTTTTTACTTAAGAGTATTCATAAAAATAAGCTTATTAATACTCTTCTTAAAATTTCTTTGTTACTAAAATATTGTCATATATACTGACATGACATAATACTTGAACTAATCACGTTGCACTAAATATTAATATGTTTTTAATTTTTAAATAAATATTGAAACATATATTTTCAATTTATAAATATATAACTTAAATCTACATCAATATTAGTACCATCTTGTGTAATATCTTGCTATGGAAAACCTTTTCGACAATTGGGGATATAATATATGACTATTTTTTTATAAATGCTTTTCATTTAAATTACGAAGATAATAAAAGGATGCCAGATAATAGACTAAACAAAAATTTATCCCAAAAATAATTTATAGATAGATAGATAAATATCAATACATAGAAAAAGTGTGAAGAAGGAAGATGACAATAAAGAAAGGAAATGTTCATTATTTATATTTTACATACATGATAATTTAATAAAATAAATCCTTTGAGAGCAACTAAAATATTTTCAACCCAAACTTAAGAGGTTTATTTAGAATTAACTTGGAACATTTTGTTTTATTAATTTGCATAATATAAGTCATATTTCTATGGCTTGAATACTTTTGTGTATATATATATATTAATTGAAGAACAAGAACAAGATCAAGAAGGAATTGAAAGAAAGAAAACAATTTCTCCCTCCGTCCACTTATAATGTCTACATTTACTTTTGACACGATATTTAAGAAATAATAGTATTTTAATTATAATGAGTTGTTAAAAGTAGTGTAATGACATTTTTGCCTTTGTTTTTTCGTGTAAAAGTAATGATGTGATGTAAAGTAAAGGTATTTGTGAAAAAAGTAGGATATTTAATGACATGTTTATTTTGTAATTGGACATCTCAAAATAAAAATATGTATACTTTCTGGCTGGACGAAAAGAGTATTATTTTTTGGCATAATTTGATCGAATTTCAGAATAATAAAAGAAAGAAAGAAATAAATGTAAGGTGTGAATGAGTAGAAAGACCTGAATGAGAAGATAACTCTTGCCATCAAAGCCATTCTTGATGACTTTAAAGGTCTGGCCATAGTATATTCTGAAGTTTGCTGCATCTTCTGCTTCTGAAACATTCCCACTAATCTTCACCTCATTTCCTCCTCCTCCTCCCCTCACTCTCTCAATTTTCTCACTCCACATTACTACCCAAATTACCATAATTACCCTTAACCAAACACTACTACTACATCTCCACCAATTCCTATTCCATACATACTTCTCCACCATTTTCACAATATATATATATATATCTATATTTGTGGGTCTGTGTTAGAGTGAGAGTGAGAGTGAGAGTGCTTTTATATATATATATATGTAACTACATTGTAGAGAGGAAGGACTCACTCAATGAATTACATTAATGGCCCCTCAAGGCCGTGTTTGGTTGAGATTTTTGTGTCTGGCAAAAGGGGATGAATCTCTCTCTTCTCTTCTCTCTCTCTCTCTCTCTCTGTGTTTAGTGTTGGTTGGTGCTTTAATATCAGCCCGTGAATGAAAAGGGTAGCTTTTAATTCTTTGGCGTGGTTGTTTTTGGTTTTTAGTGTGTTGGGGCTTTGTGTTTGTGCTTTGTAATTGTAGTGCCTCACCAGTACCATGCATGTGACTCAGATTCATACACCCAAACAGTGCCTTATTTCCTTTATACTCTTTTTTTTCTTTTTCGCTCTCCCTGCGGTGCGCCGGCGTGCAGTAGTTTCCAGTTACTACAGTGGGTTGGGGTTGCCGGAACCGGACAGGGACAGGAACAGGGGAAGTACTCTATTCCCTATTATCATACCCAAGAGTATCTGTCGTACCAAAGAAACCAAAATTAAAGTAAAATTCAAGACCCAATTATTTAAATACTCTCTATATCATATATATATATAATATTTATTTTATTTATTTACTTATCCATAAAAAAAAAATGTCGATTTCATATTTTAGGAAACAAATAATACCATTTTCCTTTATTATTTTAATCACTTTTTTTTTTTTAACTATGCAAAACAAAAAATATATACTACCTCGTGAATCAAGTTCTAAGGATTTTATTTAGTAAAGAAATTGCAAAAATACCTAAATTAGTGTCTTGTGATACTAATAGAATAACATTTGTAAAAAAAATTATACAAATATATGAATATTTTTAATGTTAAGTACAATCTGACCGGACAAAGAGAGTATTACATTTCAAATGGTATATTAATAGCAATACGGATCAAGTGCTGAAAAGTTTTAATTCAATACTTTGCTGAATGCTTAAAAACTAATTAAGTTCAAGTAATATACTTAATTAATACAATTAAAGTAATTATTCATCGGGTGCTGAAATAATATTTTCAACACCTGATCTGTATAGTATTAATAATACCGGATTCATCCCATGTTGTTACATGATGTTTTTCTACTACAACTAATTTCTTATTGTTTTTTGAGCGAAAAATTCAAAGGGTATATTAATCAAACCGGATAAATTTGAATAACATACAAAGATATCACTCTAAATTTACTAGTATAATTAATTGAAACGAATTCTAATTTCAATATTGTATTACAACATACAATCAAACGATTTTCATCAAGAATTCCCAATTAAAAAAAAAAAAAAAGAAAAACTAATAATAGTTGTAGTTGTTGTAGCAAGTAATCGAAATTCGAAGTCGCTCTATTCTTGGCCCTTAGATTATTTTACCCTAGCAACAAATCCCCTTTCCACAAATTGTGCAAATCAAGAGAAACTAGGGTCAAGTAACACCTTAGAACATCCTTAATCTCCCCAAACAAATTTCTCCCTCCCCCAACACTTCTTGGATTCATTTCCTCTTGAGATCTTCCCAAGCTTCTTATCGTATTTTTCGCCAACATCCTAAATTTCCTCGACAAACTCGGTACAAAACCCATCGGTGGATTTTCATCTCTAATTGTTGGGTTTATAGAGATGGAGATTGTCTTTGATGGCACTACTTGGTGATAAAATGTTGTAGCTGTTTGTCGAGTCGAAACGAGTAATCCATGATTCACTTGGATATTATTGTCATCGAATATGTCCAAGTCCGGCGAGTTCGAGAAATTATCAATCAACACCTCGCTGCCTCCGATTGTATCGCTTACTTCTGTAGTGAAGAATGCTTCAAAGTTGTGACCGCCTGCATCGAAAATTTTTATTCGTTCGTAATTTTATTAACTTTGTTTGAACTAGTAATAATTATTTTTCTACCTACCATATTTGTTTTTTTGTAAGCTTCTTAATAATTTTTTCGTAGTATTCTTACTTTATTTTTTATCAAACATATTTTTATATTTAAATGCAATTATTTATTAGCATCATATAAAGTGACATAATTATCCGAGATAGAGAGTATTATTCAATTTTCACGATTTCCTATATTTTGTTTTTATAAAATATCGCATTCAAATTATTATTGAAACGAAAATGAAAATGAAAATGAAAATCCAAAATAATCATAAAAAAGAACACATCCGAAGTTGTTGTGTTTTAAAACTTCTTCTTAATTAGTAATATACAATTTACAATAAAATACCCAGCTCAAAAGTATTACATTTGATATTAATTCTATTTTTCAATTTAAAACATCACTTTTATTTGTTTTTTTTTTATATATATTTTTTAGTAGGCCAAAATAATAAGTGTACAATAATTTCGTAAAAAAAAAATTGAATAAAATATTTTAAGAAAGAAAAATAAAAGTTTGAATAATAAAAAATAATGATAGAATTAAATAAACACAAAAGAACGTGAGTACTATTTACATACATACCTTCAATTTCAAAATCTCGATATTCCCCTCGGACAATATTGGAGATGCCTTCTATGGGAGCCGTCCTCAAGTCATCTGTCCACACCTGAGTATAAGGTTGTCAAAAGACACCAAACTTATAATGACATTTAGACATGGAATTTATTATTATTTAATTATAATTATTTTTTAATATTTTTTATACTATATATATATATAAAAAATTATTCTATACAAATTATGTGTATATTAATATACTTTTATTTAAATTCTATTTTGAAAATAAATTAGATTGATATAAATATAAATATATATGTATTCTTTAATTAAGGTGGAAGAAGGATAATATGATACGGAGAAATTAAAAAAAGAATATAAAAATTGTTGTTGAGTTTCTGTACAAATTAAAAAAAATTGTAAAAATACTTTTACTAGTGTCTTATAATACTAATAAAAGGATATTTATAAAAAATAAAAAATTATATAAATATAAAAATATTTTTAATATAATGATGCAAAACATAAATGTGACCCTTAGACGACGGAGGGAAAATTACCTTTTCAAATTCGTGGTTAGGCATTCCAATCCAGCTTAGGTTCTCATCACCCATATAATTATTTCTTCCAGTTTCAATGAACCTCATGGGATTGTTCTCATCTCCATAATTATCCAAGTAAGTCGACAACATGAGATCTCGAGGGGGGTACGTATAGTCATGGAATACGCTTGAAGATGGTGTGTTGTTAGTCGGGTTGTTAGAGAAAGCAGCTGGCGAAAAATCGGGAATGGCCTCTAGCGGAGGCAATGAAGACCTCGTTTGTAATCTCGCACACTCTAATGTAATCCCCATCTAAACAAAAAAGAAATAATAATAATATATAACAAAATTAAGAATAAAATAATGAAACTTATGTGTGTATATACTCAATAAATATATGGTGTATTTTTATTTTTTTTTTTAGGTATATTAGTTTGAATTTTTTTTTTTTATGTGAGGAATAAGAAATTGTGTTGAAAATATAAAAAATAATATTTTTGTATTAAATGTTAACTTTTTACGAGAAAATATAATATATATATATCTATATATATATATGGTTACCTTTGATGGCGGGTATGGCAAAGAATTATTGTCTTCATTATTGCAAAAACCAAATGCCTCTTCTGATAAGTAGTGTGTCCATGCTGCAGCTTCATGGTCACTTGATGAGGAGTTCAATGTCATTACAGGGTGATTTCCGGAATTGAAAGCGCCGAAATGTCCTAATTCGTCAGCCAGGTCGATGTTCGGGGAGACACTATTGTCAGGATGTTGGTGATCTTCTTCTACCTTTGTGATGTTTAAACTCTTCTTGAATATGCGGCAAAGGGCGTATGCATCCTGTCCGGATATATCGATCAATAAGAAAATTGAAGCTAATATAATAACTCTGTTCGATTTTTTTGTGATGGTTTGTTAAATCATGAAATCCCTTCACATACAAGATAGATAAATGTCTTGAACATCCTGACTCTGATATCATTTTAAATGATCATTTCATCTAAAAATTAAATATAAAGAGATACATATAATTTATTTATTACATAGTATAGATGATTAATTATCACTTGTACCTCATATATTTCTCCGATTGTATTTTAGTTTTATACTAACAAAAAAAAATTCGCAATTTTCATGTTTCCATAGAGGATGAATGAATGCTCGTATTCACTTGCGAATCTACATGCCATTACACAAAAGAGCGATCTTTTTATAAAGTATAGGGCCAAATACGACTAATAAAAATATAGAATTCGACAAAAGTAATGATTCAATGTATATATGAGACTAATTAATTTTGCAATAATTTTCCTCACAAACCTATAAAAGCAAAATTAAATTGGCATGTATATAGACATATACATATACACACATATATATATAGATATACCTGCAAGCCCGACGAGGGATCGAGGCATTCTCTATCATCGAGGCGATATTCATGCATAACCCAATCGGTTCGCGCCCCATGGGGGGCTCGCCCCCTGTAATAAACTAGGGTTTTCTTCATCCCCACAGCCCTGTTAATTCCTTCTGAAGTAGAACTATTCATCATCACCTTCCTATCTTTGCCAGTCGCCTTCCAATACCCGGCTTTGGTAGCCCGGTTCGTTCTTGATCCATTCGGGTATTTACGATCTCGTGGGCTAAAGAAGAACCATTCAAGATCTTTGCTTGGTAGCAGTGACTTTCCTGATCAATGGTGTTAATTAATTATGTCAATTGTCATGGAAGAACATGAATATATATATATATATATTTATATGTCAATATATAAATGCTGGCTTTATTACAAGATCTGGTTCATGTTTTCATTGTCTTCTCTACATGTCTTAGGCCATGCTTTTCCATTTTAGAACTTTGTTAGCTAACAATTGAATTTTAGTGAAAAGAGTATCAAATATAGTTTAGGGTTTGGAATATACAAATTCTTAAATATTCCATTTAAAATAAATTAAACAAAGATAAGGAACATGGTGTGTTTATTATTAATTATTATGATTATTGTTGTTGTTGTATTTTTGAAGTAAATATAGTGTTTCAAATGATGTTTAAAATGTAAAACAGTTTTTTTCATATGATTGATTCTAAATCACAAAAAAAATATGTACATACAAATTATATATATATATATATAAGCATACTACAATAGATATTTAGCGTGTAATAAAGGGGAGGTAGCCAAAAAAGATGAAAAAGTGGGAATGTTGTTGAGCAATGAATATGACTTCTTTAATTAATTAGTTAGTTTTATTTTCCATGAGATTGATGTCTTAAAAAACATTATAAATGATTAAATTTCATATGCATCCACTTAGAAAGATGTAGGGACCATCAACTTACTTCAATCCCTTTTCCTAATAATGTGAACATGTTCTAATATTGAACTATATGCATACATATATATATATATAAATATATTAAAGTCTCTCTCTCTCTCTCTCTACAATATACATATATATACCTTCCTTCATTGCAATACTTTCTTAATATCATTCTTCTTCTTCTTCTTTTATTTCAAGATTTGTTTTCTTGTTATAATTTGAAATTGATTTGAAACAGTAATTTTGATTTGAATTTTTGTTTAAATATACTTTTATTGAATTTACGTGTAGGTGTGTACGAGATAAGTTATATATAAATACGTACCTGGAAGATCCCATGGCTCGCACTTATAAAGATCGACTTCAGGGATGACCTCGAGATCAATTTTTTGGCCATTGATCTTCCTCTTGAGGTAATACGCTACGAGCTCTTCGTCTGTCGGGTGGAACCGAAAGCCGGGAGGCAACGATACACCCGCCATGAGAGGGAATCAAGAAATTTTGAGGAAATGAATAGAGGAGAAGAGAAGAGAAGAGAGGAGACTGAATTCCAAAAGAGGGTTTTATAAGGGAACAAAAAGAAACTTCTAATATAAATAAATAATTATATATATATATATATTGAATGGGGAGAGGCTGCCACCCCCTTAATTACTTTATCTTTTTATACATTCTCTTGCTGTCTTTCTGATCTTATTATTTGATTGTTTTGTATGTATCTATGTCTGTATGTGAACAGTTAATATTTAAATACTAAAATGTAAGAATATGTATATATGTTTGTGTATGGAGGATACGAAGATTGTGCATGTAAGGAAGGAAGGAGGGAATCGTCGAGGTTGCCTTGGCTTGGGTGGTCCACGTGGTATCGTCTCATTCGATTCGATTCCATTCTTACCCTAACCAATCATCTATTTACTCTTTTCATCTATGTTTTTCAACTGCCAACAACAAATGTGTTTAGTTAGAGGTTGAAATTGTTGAATATATCTCACACATGAAAGTAATACGGGTAAAAGAATTGTTCTGCTTAATATCAATCGGTTTTAAATTGAAATTTCGAATCCCTTCTTAACGTAGTATCAGAGTTACGGTGCTTGTTTAAATTTTCTATATTATCGTGTTGAAGGGAAGTAGGGTTGAACATATCCTACATAGTATTAAGAAGTTTCAACCAAATACAATTATTAAGAAGGGTCCTTTCTTTTTACAAAAATAATCCTAGTTGTGACACCGAAAGGAAATAAATAATAAATATTAATTTTATTACATATAGTAGTGTACTAGTTAGAGCACTTTCCGAAAGAAGCCCTAATTCTTTTCTTTTTTGATCAGAAAAGTGTAAAACGACGTCGCAGTTAACCCCCACCCTTCAATAAGAAAACCTGGGGAAAAGAATATAAGAAATAGTATAATAGTACTAAAAAGGGTATTCTTAGTTTCATCCTATAAGCATTTCTTTTCAGACTAGTCCACACTTAATCAATCATTGCAAGTTTGTTTTAATTCATAAATAAATATTTTTATTATTTTTAATCTTTTTAAAATATATTTAACCAAATTCAAAACTGTTTATTCTTTTTCAAATACAAAATACATAAACTTCAAATATTTTAAGATAAATAAATAAGGGTGTATTTGTTTACCATCAAATCTCAAATTTTTATTATTTATTGTATTTTCTTTAAAAATATATATATGCATTTATTTCTCTAACAAAATATCTAATCATACATTATTTTAATATCATATACAAACCAAAATTTTTCAAATTTATAATTGATATATAAATATTTTTTACCTTACAAAACATGTATCAAAATACTATTTAAATAAAAAAAAATCAAATATAAAACTCAATTAAAATTTATTTGAAATTGATAATAATTATTTTAGATTGGTGTTAATTTGTTAACAATGGAATCAATAGTAATTAAAATTTTATATAATAAAAGCAAAATTTAATAATTTTTTTATAATAAAACTAAAATTAATTATTGTTTTTTTTTATTAAGACTATTTTTTATTTTGTCCAGATTAATAATATCACAAAATAATAACAAAAAAAGGGAAATATTGTGTATTATTAAAACTAGTTATCCCTAGACTCGTGACCAACTAAAACTAATTGTGTCCGGTAGTGTGGTGGTGACTTGTGACAAACTAGTTGTGTCTTGTGACAATAAAGTCATAGGTTCAATCCCTAACGTCCCAGGTCACTTAGCACACATAGTTTGTAAAATACATTAGGTTAGACAGGAAATTTACACGTCATAATAAAAAAAAAAAAAAAAAAAAAAACTAGTTTCTTTCCTCTATGTTATCTCTCCACTACATTATCTTGAGAGCTGAAGATCTTTTCAGCAAATTTGGTGAGTTTTTTACTATTTTGTCAAATGATTATAACAATAATAGATATCAAACACAACGAACCCGCATCTATCCATCTTCTACAAAAATCACAAATTCCATCTAAGACAGTTTGTTGTCTTCTTGATAGATCAGATCAGTGTTATAGAAGTCGAACTAACACTACCAAATATATAGGGGAGAAAAAATCAGAAGTAAGACTGAGAGAGACAATCATCCTAGATATTTACTTACCCCGGTCTGTCTGTCTATACAGAAATAAATCTAATTTCCAGTTAATGAATAACAAATGAAATAAGCAGCGAGTGCGCGAGCACATGCGCTATTCTAAGTTGTTTGGTTCGACAACTTTTACGAATAAACAGATATGAAGGTAGTACTCAGGGTTCATCAAGTTGTTCACCACCCACCCAAATGGAATTTCGAGCTGTGGCTCAATTCCCTGAATACGAATCACCTTCATCTCACTGCCATCTGGGACTAACCTCGAACCCTCCCCAGTTTCTTTGGGGCTTTTTGAGCTGCTCCCATCTGATCTTTGTTCACCCTCGTCTTCTGCTCCACATGACGGAGGGGATTCCACTGAGAATAGTTCGGGTAATAGTGATTTTAACGCATCGAGCAATGTAAAGCATTCTCCTGTACAAAAATAAAGGTTGCCAACTAATTCAAGGACCAAAAATGGAGATACAAACTGAGCTAGAATCATATGGTACTGATATTTTACTCCAATAGTTTACAGGATAATGTTTAAAGGTCTAATATGTGTGAACAATTCTGGGGTTTCTTTCAGTAAACATACATATGATCTCAATGACTATGCCAAAAGGACTCCACAAATGTAATGCAATACCAAACGTGTAAACAGTTTCTAAATGGTGAGTGTAAGGCAGTAAGTTATCAAAACCATAAATATATTATTTTAACGAAATTACCTTCACCGTGAATCTCAACAGGGCAATTTATGTATGATACTTTTTCCCAACTATCAACCGTCTGGGCATCTTCTAACTCATCTATATCTTCATCGATAGTCCGTATGTATAACCGAACAGGAATTCTACCTGGAAATAGCAACAACTTTATATAACAGAAAAATACAAGATAGAGGTCTAACTTACAAAGTACAGCAAATCAAATGAACAATGCCATCAATCACTACTACTTTGAGACAGTAAATTCAAATATAGAAGATAAGTTTAGCACCAAAATGTAGTCCATTTTACTTTTAAGATGAACTAATCAGGCCCATATTTAATTCATTCAAAACACAGCACATGCTCAACTGTTTGATATGTATCATTGTTGCTACACCACTCTTTTGTTACTTTTCAAGAAATGGAAAATGCAGTGAAATGTACTCCTTCAGTTTCAGAGAGGATCGTAACAGAAAGTGGAAATGAAACGCAAGCTATTGGCTAAAGTTCATAAGCCAGTATAGTTTTCAACATCTTACCTGTCCTGGTTGTTCCAGTAGCCTCCAAGTTATTATTCCCTTGTTGAGACTTTGACCCAGAAGCCTTTACTTTGAGGAAAAAGTCGTCTCTAATAACGTCAAGTTTAAGTTTCTGTGAAATATGACAGAAAGCTTCCAGATGACCTGAGACATAGCGAGGTTCTATAGTTAACACTAACAGAAATGCAGGTCCATTCAGAATAGTAGTTTATGGCAAACGGGGAATACAACATAAAAAGAAAGGATAAAAGAACATATTCGGGCAGTGGTCAGCAACTCAGAGAGTTAACATGCAATAAGACTGAAAATGGGTAATTCCATGGTTTTTGAATTTCAGGATTCTGCCTGGACAAAAAAGAGTTGTAATCCACTTCAAGTGCAATCAGAACCATAGAACCAGGCACCAATAATATAAGGTGATTTTACAGCTCTACATTCTTCATGCAGCTGGACATGCACATGCTCGTACACTGACAGAATTAGAATAATGTAGTGTAAACAAACAAAAGAAACAATCATATAAATTAGAAAAATTATATTTCTTCAGTGTAGGACCCAAGTCATGGGAAAATTACAAATTCACACAAGAACAACTGAGTGGCTCAAGTACTCCAGAAGGACAGAAAATGCTATCACACATGCAAGTCCTACCAATTTTTGGAAGCAAGAGAAAAATCGTACAAGAAACAAATCTGATCGAACACTTCACTTCCATGTGAAAGCAGCATTCTTATTATAAGGCGGCTCGTGAATCATGAATAAGTGGTGCTGAAGATTTGAATACAAGACCTCAGGTAATAATGGCATACTAGAACAATAAAAATTATATATTCCCATAGAAACTAACCCTAAAGTGTACTATTCACAGGGTATTAATACAATCGTAACAAAAATCAAAGTTCATATTACCACAAAATATAATTGTAAAATCCTGAGGTTAGTGCCAAATTTTGTAAAATATCATTTTTCTAAATAGGATTCTCAAAACACATTATTTAAAACTATTCATACCATTTAAAACAGAACGCCAGAGCTCAGCCTGATCAGATTGAGACAAATTCATGATATTTTTGCAGTTTCCATTGATTATATATGCTGCCTGCAGACATGCAGATGCAGTCAGTGTAGGTTAAGCTGCAGTGCGTATTCTGAAGGAATAATAAGTGCTTAAAGAACCCAGAACAGGTAAAACATGATATCATCTTACTTCACTCGGTGAGCATTAGGTACCATTGCTACGTGAATTTACACATGCAGTAAAAGAAACTAATTGAAGAGGCCGGAGATAAAGTTAAAGCAAAGGAAAGCACAGAGAAAATATACCTTACCTCTTTCAAAGCATTGATATAGCTCCACTTTACACTGTCCTCACCTTCACATGGGGTCAATATATTCCCTGGATATCCTCTAAAGTGTATCTGCAGAAATATCCGAAAGCATGCTATAGGTAAATTAACAAAGTTTTTCAGCTTAAAATACCAAGCTAAAGACATGGATTCCAAAATTGGGCGTTACGTTTGATGTCATATCCAAGCTACCCACATATGGTAAGATTTTCTGGGGGATGGTACAGAACAGAACAAACAAAATCTTGTTGACTTCAACGCCAAATAGAAACAGCAACCAACCGTTATGAACAACAGTTCATAACATACGCTTCATAGACCACTTAAGATGACGGGATAAGCCAATCCACATCAAGTTATTGGCTTTGAAGTTAAAGGGGATATAAGAAAAGACATATTCACACACATGGATATATATATATATATATATTCCACAGCATTAATACTGAAAAGCCTAAAATCCTAAACATTATAGCATCTTTACTCATGAGGCTCAAAAGGAGGTACAAAATATACTATACAAGATCTTCTGAAGTAAAAAAACTTCTAGTTCCCATTATAGAAAATTATTCATTCTATGATTCTATCAAGAACATAAAATGTGGTAACAACAAAATATACAACGCAGCCATTCATCAACTAGTGCATTTATTAATGAATTTCCAAACCCTCATACAGTTAAGTTCCATGGCCTTTCAGGTTCCGCACAGAGAAGATCAAAAAGTACTCCCGTGGGTATATACCTGAAAGATATCAGCAATGTCAATAAAAATATATCAGAATCATTAATTCTGCTTGAAGTGACCAATAAGCATAGAACAATAATTTGCAAAGAAAATAGAGATTCGGTGAGAGATTCAAATTAGTAGGGAAAAATCCAAAATATCGAGGCACTGGGCATCAATGAAATTAATTTTTGCAATACAAAAAGATTTCATGAAATCAAATTTTAATCCAATTCCTCCATTACATCGAAGTAGCTTAGTAGTTTCAGTTTATTTGGAAACACTCTTTTTTATCAGTATATCATAAATTAAAGGTTCTACTATGAATGTAACATTGCGCCTGAATTCATCCCTAAACATTTCAATTATATGATATCTATAACATTTGATAGTCCACTATACTATCTGCCATCGAGCCGACATGCTTCACAAGACTGCTTGAAGCAACAATGTTTCTATCAAGAAAGCCAAAATGAAACTATATATAAAACAAGTTCGTGTCCTTTTGAAAACATGGTTCAATGAAGATGCATAAGACAAACCACTTAAGCGGCAGTCCTTTGTACTCAAACCAGACAGTGTCTACTCCGGGTGGAAGAGAACCACTAAAGAATGGCTTAATCTGAGGCACTAAAAGAGGCAAATACCCTATCCGCGGGGCCAATACCTATAAACAAAGAAAAATAAAATTTAGTCTTGACACATTTAATCAAGCAATATCACGAACTGCTGGAAGAGCAACTAATGAATCTGAAAATGGTTCAACGCACCATCCCCAACAATTTTATAGAAACAAGTCTAAAAAATAAATCATCAGTTGAATGATGGCTTCGGTTTTGTTCTTTTGTGTGTTCTACCACAAATTTTTACTATTCAAATCAAACAATTATTTTTTTTATATTATACTACAAATTTATTTTACATTCAAAAGATCACCTCAACCTATATTTATGTCACATCAAATAATTATTCAAATTCAACTTTTTACTATTAAAAAATCCAAACCCAAAAACTAAAACCCACAGACAAACACACCCTTCATCTACATCACCTAAAAGCTTAAGGCTATCCAGGAGAAGTATCATTCCATGCTTATTTTAATCGAATACCTTAAATACATCCTTATTGTCCTTTCTCATAAACCTTGATCAAAATAAACTTTCATAAATGATGATGGCCGAGATTCGTAGTTACATCACTTTACACATCTATATTGAATCTCCCCAACATCGTCTAGCAACCCAAACTCCCGCAAAACCACAATTACAATAACTAAAAGAGATTAAAAATAAACCAGTGATAAATCTTGTGTCAAGCATTCAAGCAGGCATGCCAAATTAATCGACTTTATACAAAGGAGTTACCAACGCTGGCGGAGGCGGCGGAAGCGTGGTGACTTCGGAATCGTGGAGGTGAATCTGAAGCGGAATGGCGCCTCTCCAGACGTACCGCTGCGCCTCTGTCCCTCCTTCTTTATGGCCCATTGCCATTAGCGTGTTTTGTGATCTCTTTCTCGCGCCGATGGAGTCATAGACTATTGAACGAACCTTCACCCGCTGTTTTGACTAGGGAAGGGAACCACGGCAGAGATGATGAATTTGCAAATACATCCCTCATCTCTTTACAAATGACACTTGAGGCTAACCTTATTAAAAGTGTCCGATTGGGCCGGCCCGAGACTGTTTGACCCGACCCATTTCATCTCAGCGGGCCGGTTCGACCCTTATTTCCAAATCTATTACACTGCCTCCACCATCCGGTTCGAAAAAACCGCCGGTTCAAAACGGTGGTTGTATTTCAAACCGAAATCGGACTCAAACCAAACGGAAATCGTCATTCCGGTTCGATTTCGGTCTGTGTCTTTGTCCGCCGTGAACCGGCGATTTTCCCTCCTTCTTCTTCTCCATTCCTTTCCTTCTCTTTCTGCCTTCTTCTTTCCTTCTCTCTCTTTTCTGTCTTCTGCACTGCGCACTGGTAGGCTAGACCGGTGAGAATAACTCAAAAAAAAAAAGGCAAATCTCCGGTTCAATCTGTAAACCGGCGGTTCGCGGTTTGCCAAGGACACAAACGGTTTCAGTTCGGTTTGAACCGTAGCTGCTGGTTCGAGAACCAGCGAACAGCGGCTCGAACCGGCGGTTTGGACCGGATGGGCAAGTCTACTGCCTCCCCCTCGGCTTTATATCCGCCTCTCGTCTTCTTTTATGTAGCTTCTTTCGTAATTTGATTTTCGGCGTCGTCGTCCTCAAAGACGCCCAGTGCAGCTGGCTACGTTTGTCTTCTTCAGCATCGTATAGTAAACTTCTTCTGCAGTTTCATGGAGGTTCTGTAAGTTCGATTGCTTACATTACTTTTGAATTATTTTGCTTTATCATTCTGTTTTTTTCGATTAGGACTGCTATAGGAGTTTCTGCTTGAATCGTTTGATGCTAGGTGAAATTACTTGTATTGATTTAAGATTTATTGTATGGTTGATGTCTGTTTTAGTGTTAATTTTGTTGGCTTTGTGCATTCTTGTAGGGATTGGCGGGTTCATTTTTTGTTTATTTGGGCGGAAATTATCTATTTCTTTTGTTGGAATTTCTTATGCAATTTTGGGTGATTTTTGAAGTTATCTTCGACAAGATATGATTGATTAATTTTAGTTTTAAAACACCTTTAAATATAATACTCCATTAAACACTGTTGTTTTAAATCAAAATTCAAAAAGGTATTTTTTTTAATATTTTTTTAATAACACAGATAGAAGATAGAAGAGCGACAGAGAACCACTCGCATCTCTCCGCCCTCACCTACGATTGGTGATTTATCCTAAAATTGGCGGGAGTAGCTCTTCCTTTTCCTGATATTCTTCTCCTGTGATAGGTTTTTCTTCCTCTCTCATGTCATTGTTGTCCTTTAGCTAATTTATGTGTTTTTGTTTTCACCTGCAATTGCCGAAGTCCAGTGAAATTCCGAAAATCAATACAAATTGAGTCTTCGAATGGATTGGGCAGTGGTTTGTTTTCTATGGGGAGTGGGGGTGTTTTTATTCTAACAGTTATTATTATCATTTTTCCCCTAATTTACAATTCTATTGATTGTAAGGTATAGGTATACCATCATGCTGGTTGAGGTCTGAAGTCAGAGGGAAAGTATTACTGTATACATAATGGCATTGACATTATTGAACGGTATAAGATCAGGTTGCTTTCGGCTTTACCCATCGGCATATGTTTCAAGAAAACGTGTTCTACAATGTTGTAGTATGGGTAGTGTGCAAGGACAAATTACAACACAAGAGAAGAAGCTGGCTCAGTCGAAAGCTTCACCCAAATTCGAAACTTTCAAAATTGAAGAAGCATTGAAAAACTATGAAGCAGTAATAGGAATAGAAACTCATGTTCAGCTCTCCACTCTTGCAAAGGCATTTTGTAGCTGTCCATATAATTACGGGGCGCAACCAAACACGGGCGTGTGTCCTGTTTGCATGGGGTTGCCTGGAGCCTTGCCGGTTTTGAACTCCAAGGTCATAGAGTATGCAGTAAAACTCGGGCTTGCACTGAACTGTAAGCTCTCGCCTAATTCAAAGTTTGACAGGAAACAATACTTTTATCCAGATCTCCCGAAAGGCTATCAGATATCACAATTCGACATTCCAATTGCTAGTGGTGGTTATATTGATGTTGATCTACCAGTTGAGTTTGGGGGTGGGCATAGGAAATTTGGCATAACCAGAGTTCACATGGAAGAAGACGCCGGGAAGCTGCTTCACACTGGAAACTCAAGCTATTCTCAGGAAATTTGCCTTTTGTTATTTCTCCTTATCGAATTTAATCAATACATTGAATCTTTGAACTATGTCTTTAATCTTCACGTCTAGCTGATATCAGGTTTCAAATTCATCGATTCTTTTGCTTGGCCAGGTGGACTTGAATCGAGCAGGAGTTCCATTGCTTGAAATTGTGTCTGAACCAGACATGAGGACAGGAATTGAAGCAGCGGAATATGCTGCAGAACTACAGAGATTGGTCAGATATCTTGGGGTTAGTAATGGAAATATGCAGGAAGGATCTCTTCGCTGTGATGTCAATATCTCTGTCCGGCCGATTGGGCAGGAGAAGTTTGGCACAAAGGTACATTAGTGTTTTATAAAATTTCTGCACAATGTGTTTTTCATTTTTTTTTTGACAAATTTGAAGTTGAGTTTTTTGCTTGATTTCCACAGCTCTTATATGCATCTCTTACACTAATTATTTGTCTAACTTCGCCTAGACAGGTTGAAATAAAGAACTTGAACTCATTCTCATCAGTGGGTAGGGCCATCGATTTTGAGATATCTAGACAAGTGTTGCTTCACAGTCAAGGTCAGGCTGATCAAATTGTGCAGGAGACTCGTCTCTGGGAGGAGGGAGCTCAGGTTAGATCCCGTAATGCCTGCTGTCAGATTTGGTATCATGTTTCTGTCATTGCTAACCCTTTGGATTGCTATGCAAATTAGAAAACAATTACGATGAGAAAGAAGGAAGGACTTTCTGATTACCGTTACTTTCCAGAGCCTGATCTTCCAGGGGTTGTTCTCAGTGAGGAGTACATCAACATTATCCGTGACTCCTTACCTGAACTGCCTGAAATGAAACGCCGGAGATACGAGCAACTGGGATTGAGCATGCAGGATGTTCTTTTTCTCACAAATGATGTCAATGTAAGCCCTGATTCAACCTCTTTACTCGACCTCTGGATTAAGTTTGTAGATAAATTGTTGCTTAAGATGGACCTTTTTGTGTTTAAATCACTGAGGTATAACAGATTGAATTTGCATTGTGCATTGTGTTCCGATCCTTGTTTCAGGTTGCAGCATTTTTTGATGCGACGATTGCAACAGGAGCTGATGTAAAAGTGGTTGCTAATTGGATTATGGGCGACATTACTGCGCATATGAACAATGAAAAGCTGAGCATTAACGACATTAAACTCACCCCTCAAGAATTGGGAGAGCTCATTTCTACAATCAAAGGAGGAACCATTAGCGGAAAGATGGGCAAAGAGGTACGTATGGGCCTACAGTTTTTTGTCGCAGCCGTACACCTTAATTACTTTATAAATCAAGCAATCTAGAATATGATTCTACTGCATATCCTTTGTGCACAATGATCAACAGTGATGTTTTCTTGCAAAATAATATCCTTTGTGCACAGCACGTTTAACTGTTGATCGTGTGCACTGAATTAATATGCAGATACTGTTTGAGTTAATGGCGAAAGGAGGAACCGTACAAGGACTTATAAAAGAAAAGGATTTGATTCAGGCAAGTTGTTACAACATTTTAATTTTAATTTGTGCTGTGTATAGCTGGTCCGGTTGATAATCAATACATTGCATTTGGGGAACCAACAACTGATCGACGTGTTGCTTTTGCCTTTAATCAATTAGATTACAGACCCGGTTGAGATTGAGAAAATAATCGATAGCATTCTTGCAAAGAATCCAAAGCAGCTGGAGCAGTACCGTGGGGGGAAAACCAAGCTGCAAGGCTATTTTGCCGGTCAGGTATGTATGTGACTTGATACATGTACATATATATATATATATATTATTGTTGCGGGTGAACTGAACTGAGAATCTCCCGATGCTGTGTGTGTCTTTTGATCAGGTAATGAAAGAAACAAAAGGCAAGGCAAATCCGGGGCTTTTGAACAAAATCCTCCTTGAAAAATTGAATTCGAAAAGCTAGCTGAATGGAGGGAGGGAGGGTTGATTCTAATGATTGATTCATTACTGTAAGTTGACTTGCCGAGAATGTATAGCTCAAATGGTTGAGCTCTCCCTTACATGTTTGAGGCTACATCTTGCACGTCTGGATGCTGTAGACTTGCACAAACAATTCCAAATTGGCAGTTCTGACTTATGTGGTTCTGTATTTTTTGGGTTGAACTACAATTACTATTATTTCAAACTCCGACATCTTTAGGTTTATTTGTCACATATAATTTATCTAGTATGATTTGTATTATTAGTTCTAGTTAGCAGGATATTAGATTCCAAATTAAAGTTTAGTTTTGATTTTACATTTTTATCAGACTGTAAACCATCAACGGTCGTTTTATTAATCGTTTTTTTCAAAGCAAATTACCTTAGCAGCCTTTATTAGCCAATTTCAACAGAATAGAATAGCCTTCTTGTTCATCATTGAAATTGATATATATTATTATTATTATTATTTAGTTAGTTTTTGAAATTGAAAATAAAACGATAACTAAGAAATTATAACGAACATATTCTGTTAGTTTGGGGATTAAATTTTAAATAAACTGATTATCCCATTTTTTTTTACATATTAAATTAAGTATCTATTTTTTATTTTTTATATTATATTAAAAATTAATTTTATATTTAAAACATCGTATCAATTCTTATTTATATCTATCGTACAGCCATTAAATTATTTAAATTCAAAATTTTTACTATTCAAATTTCAATTCAAAATTCATATCCCAAACAACCACACCCGATAACACCGGGAAATAACATTAGGGTTTAGGGTTCGGTCTAGTTTCCATATTTCTATATTTAAAACCTTTGTTGATTAGGGTTTCCTCACTTCTCATCTCACAAAAGCGCCAAAGCCCGCAGGAGAGAGCTCTGCTGCCTGAGATCATCCACGGTTAGAATCTGATTTACTCTTCACCTTATTATTTTGAATGTACGCATTTTTCGGTTTACGTTGGTAGGTTTGATGGAATTTCTTCGTGGAATTTGTTCGATTGCCCTCTGGATGAACGCCGATCAAACCTAGTAGGATAGGTTTTTTGTTTAATCTCCAGCTGAAATGGGTCTTGTTATTCTCTTCCTTTTTTCTTTGAGCACTACATGGTTTGGGACTTTATATTACTTGCATTTCTACCAATAATATTTTGGCTTAAGACTAATCTAGGTTTTATGTTTCATATTATTGTCTAGAAGTGAAATTTCCCTAGCGAAAAAATCCTTCTTTAGCTTGTGATAGTTTTTTGAATATATTTACCATTGCCTAAAAAGCTTGTTTTAGTGGTTAACTATTTTATTTGCTCATATGCAACTCTTGTGCCTCTTAATGTTTTTTATTCTATTTATTTATCTTTTCTGAGAACACATTCATGAGCCAAACACTTATTTATTTATTTTGTTATTCCGTTCGTAGATACTATAAATGGATAGCGAGCACAGACGAATTGTCGTCAGTTTCCTGGAAACTCTTCCGCAAGTTGAATTTTGCTGTGTGTATGGTTCATCCCTCCATACAAACAATTTGGATAAGGTGTGATCTTTTTCTTTTTCTGGTTTTGTTGTCTTTTCTTTTTAATATAAAGACTTGATGTTGAAAGATTAACAATCCATTATTGTCCCAATTTCCATTTTTTATGTTCTGCTTATTATATTAGTTTTGGATATTGCAGTCGTCCATGATAGATCTCATTCTTGGTGTGGCTGATCCCCAGCAGTGGCATGCTGAGGTATTACTGGGTTTTTACTTAATAAGTTAATAATACTTCTTCTTGTTGGTGCTTTAGTGTGATGTAGTTCAGTTATTAATGGACAATATTGGTCTTTCCTTATCTAGAATCTGAAGAGGAACAGGGATCATTATGCTCCATGGATTGCCCATTTTGGCGGAGCGCAACTGGTGCTGCGGTGCTGCTTTGTGTCTCTTAATTCATTCAGTTTTTATTCGTATCATATTTATGTGAAATTTATTTTTGCAGATCACTGATGTTGCAGATGAAATTGGTGTTGGTGTACATTTCAATCCCTTTGTTCCACACAAGGATAAGGTTATTAATTTATCAGTAACATTGTCGTGGTATTTCGAGAAGTTATACTTGGTGATGGGGTTGTGTTAGCATATTATCTTGGTTATATCTTGACTATATGGATGGTTCTTTATCTATCTAGTTTACATCTTGATTTGTGCTTTTTAATAAATGCTTATAAAATTGACACTAGTTACACTTGTAGGTGTTCAAATATGGTGTTATTCGAATGCATGATCTTGTTGAGGATGTTCTGTCTTGGCAGCATTTCTATGCCAGTGGGCGCTTACAGAAACCTGTATGTGTTTGCTCTCTTCGACGTCATTTGTAAGGCTACTGTTTTTCGAGATACGCTTTCTAAAGTCTACAATTCAAATGATTAGGGATGGCATAATCCAAACTTAGTGGGGTAGGTTTAAACTTTTGTGCATTTGGGTTGAAATTGAGTCAAACCTGATTGACCCACAAAATTATCAGGTTAGGTTTGGTCAATTTACTAAACTCACAGTTTAACCAGTAAATTTCAAATCAACGACCGACTCATCTTTTTTATTGTAGGCATTTAGAAAATAAACTTTAACCATATATATTATCTGAAAATTTCATATATAACATCAGGTTGCACCTATGTTTTAGGTTGATCTCATAGTGGATACATTGAATGTAAGAGAACTAAATGAGTTAAACCTGACGGCTTCAGTTGCTGCTACTCTCCTCCTTTGGCCATCACTTGTTACTGAGGTATGAAAATATATTACTTTAAACAATCAATTGATGTTGCATGAAACTGAATAGCGTCTGTTGTACTAACAGGTACAGCTGTACTCCAATATATGCAGGCTTTCATACATGGGTGATGTGCGGATGCTTTTTGCGGAGGATAGGGACAAGGTAAATGCGTTTAGCTTCACTTTGATGACTTTACAGGAAAACTTACATTGACATTGTTCTGTGTGCATTGGCAGTACTTCCCTGTGCATGTAAAGTATCTCGATACCATTTCAAATAGTATTGTAATTGGATTTTAACTCCGAGATCACAAATTCCCATTATGTTCTTGCATCAGAGAAATATGATAAATGAGCTAATTCAGTCCTCTCCGATATTGGTCACTACATTTGAACTCTTATTACTTATAGTAGGACAATAATTGTTCATAATCTCTGGGTTATTTTCAAGTTTTGAAGAGATAATTCACTTTTTCTTGTAGTGTTAACAATTGTGTGTTTTTATTTTACTGATTAATAAATATGTTTTTTTACCAGGTGGCAAAGATTGTCAACAGTCAACTTCCATTATTTCAAACATTGTATAGACCTCGTCTAAAAGCACTTCAGTCGAAGGAAGTTATTAGGATGTTCTATGATACTGATCAAACGTTACATATACAAGAGGTTAGTCCAATATTTTAGGTTCGATGCACTAGTGAATTGTCGTTCATGGACTTGTTCTTTTTTCCGCCCTTCACTGATTGAACAAGGGAACTACTTTATGCCTTTTGTCAGTTGTCTTTTTCTTTCAACAAGTTGTCTGCCCACAAACTCGTTCGTTTCTTGAGTCAGATAATGTAAAATGTAATGGAAACTTTATAGTATGTGGTTTGGTGTATTAGGAAATTACATCTTGCAGTAGATCTTGTACTAAATAGGCACAACTAATTATTTGTGTTTCTGAAACACATTATGATTTTCTTATCAACTCCCGAGTAAAGTTGCATGGAAAATATTATCCATTTGTTCTGTTCATTGTCTCGATGCATGTGTTGCCGATACAACTCGGGAGAGTACAAGAATGTTTTTCTTACCATGCAGTATCTGCTTTCATGCTAGCCTGATAATATGTCAATTCCTTACTGCTTCTAAATAACCAAATTTGGTGAGTACTAAAATTAGGGGAACGGCAAAGGGGCCCTTCTAGATCAACTTCCTCGGCGAATAATAAGCCTCACGGAGGCTAAACTTGGAAGTAATATTCGCCCAGGTACGATCTCTACTGTTTTTCAACTCATTGATAAAAATACCGCATGTAACTATGTCATAATTCCATCATTCTTTTTTGTGGTAATTATTTTTGTTACGAAGATTTTAAATAACTGTCTCACCTAAAAGTTCAAGCGAACAGGATTTTCCGACTTTGATATCATGTTACAAAATGTTAAATGACCGTCTTACCTAAAAGTTTAAGTATTCCTCTGTGTCGAATGTATGTATGTTACTTATTCATCTCATTCTTGTCGTGAAGGCACATGCCCGGATGGAGCTGCATATTACTTGCAGACGGTTCTGAAACGCAAGGTGATGATATCAAGTGCAAGGCAGGCTGTTGCCGGCCTTCTGTCAGCCGGCATTAATCGCGGACTTAGATACGCCGGTCGGAAAATGCTAAAAGCATGGAAATCATACAGGTGGTAGGTAACCTTTCACCACCTCGCTCACCATCTTCATATTCTTTTTAACTTGCCCCAAAATAGTAAATAAGATACTTTGTAATATAGATGGCATGATTTTATTTTATTTTTTGTTACAAACATATTAGAATGAGACTAGGGGATTATATGAGGTTCAAATTCAATTCTAGCTCCAATTGAATTGGGCTGGTCTGGGCCTGGCCAGTCTTGGGCCCAATAAGAGTACTTACTCAGGTTGAGATATTGTTAAAATTTGTTTTAGATCATCAACCCATCTCCAGAGAGTATTAAATTCATGTACAAAAATTAATTTATTATTTATATACGTTACTTACATGGAGTACAATGAAAAAATGTTTTTCAATTTTTTACTATAGATGTCACTCATTAATAAATACTGTGTTTTAAGCAATTTGAAATGCAAAATTCCACCAAACAACATTTAAAAATATCTGTGGATGTTGTTTTCTAGTTTTATCCCTTCTCTAAACTTTTATAAATATCACCGCAGAAATACAAAGAAAAAATACTTGAAAAATATATATATAGTTATATTCCTTCTATTGTCGTAGATTATACCTATTTGTTTATTAAAGATGTTAATAAAAGAGAATAAAAAAATACAAAAATAATATATTTTCTAAAAAAAATTAATAATAATTTTATAATAACCAACAAAAGAAAATCCACATAAAGAGTATATAATGATAATAGTAAAGGAATAAAAAAAAAAAAACGTGTGGCTGTTAATATTTTAAAGGTGAAGTAAATTATGTGGTGGATAGACACCCCGCCCCACTCGTAAATTAGAGGCGGTGACGTGGCGGAAAAAGTGCAAAAAGGTCATCCGCCACGTGGACCCCTCGAATAATAAAAATATTTAATTGAAATTAATTAATTAATTAATAGGGGAGACACATGTCATGTCATTTTGTGTCATGTCATTTTCTTTCATCCTCATCCACCACTCTTTGTTTCCACTCCACAATTTCTTCGCCCTTTATCCTTTTATTTTATTTTTATTTATTTATACATTATTCTCACATTCTCGCGTATTTTCTCCAATTTAGTGTAAACACTACTATAATTAATAAATAATTAAAAATATATTAGTAAAAATAATTTTAAATTAACATGAAGTTAATTAATTAATATAATTAAAATTTTAAATATTTAAATTAAAAATTTTTAAATGAGATTAAAGTGTATAAAATTATTCCAAAAAAAAAGAAAAGTAACAGAATAATAAGTGGGATAGACGGAAATGGAAAGATGGACACGTGAGATGGAGGGCCTCTGTCCCACATACCATGTCCACGTTGTCGTTTCTGTCCGTCCCACATACCATGTTATTTTTTTTTTTTTGAAAAATGATTACACACTTTAATCTTATTTTAAACTTTTTAATTTTATTTTTTTAAAAATTTTAGTTAAACTAATTAATTATTTTAATCTTAATTTATAATTATTTATATTATCGAATAATTATTTTCACTAATACATTCTTAATTATCTACTAATTATACCCCTTCTAAAATACTGTGTCTACAGTCTAGCAGACACGTGGGACGGAGGGAGTACTATACTATTTTTAATGCAGGGGGTTTCTATTTATCATCTAAAAAAATGCCATGATTTTGTGTTTATTTTCGGTTTCAAAATAATTTGTTTATGATTTATTATTTATATTTTTTAGAAGAATAATACTTCATCCGTCCAATTTCTATTGTTCTAAAGTATATTTACACGAGTTTTTAGGAGATTGTCTTTTTGTTATAAATTGAAAAATTTGCCCTTAAGTGTATGGTAGAAATTAAAAGTAATAAATAAATGAAGGATAAAAATGTAAAATTTATGTTGAAAAAAAAAATAGGATAATAGTTGTTGAACGAAAATAGGATATTAGTTTGTGGACGAGGGAGTATATTTTTTAAAGAAGTATTGCATTAAGTATTATTTAGATTTTAAAAGTTTAATATTTTAATCCAATTTAAATAGAAAAAAAAAAACACGCACACACACACACCCTATTTTTTTTAGTATGCAGTTTCATATAATTTTTAATAAATATTAATTATTTTCAATATAAAACATGTACTATTTGATATAAAAATTAAAATACAAAGTTTTTTTTTTTCTTTTACTTTCGTGTAGTTTACTTTTAAAAAAAAAAAAAAACTAATTTTGATAAAATATTTTATAAGAGAAAATAATATATTATTTGTATAAAAAATTTGTGATGGGTGCATAATAATAATAATAATAATAGAAAAAAACAATTAAATCAAATTCCAAAATAGAAAAGCAATTGTTTAGTTTGGATCTATTTTTTCATTCTTTTTTAGGATAAAATAATTGTTGCATGTAATCTTTTTTACATAAAATTAGCATTCTCTTTGTCCACAAAATTCATGTTCGTTTAAGCATGACATAAATTTTAATAAATGTAATACTCCCTCCGTCCACTACAATGTTTACATATTTTTTTTTTGGGACGTCCAATTACAAAGTTAATATTTCATTAAATACTTTACTTTTTTCCACAAATACCCTTACTTTACTTTACATCACATCATTACTTTTACACAAAAAAAAGTAAAGGCAAAAATATCATTACACTACTTTTAACTACTCACTATAATTAAAATACTATTATTTCTTAAACACCGCGCCAAAAGTAAATGTAAACTTTGTAAGTGGACGGAGGGAGTATTATATTGATTAATTGTAATATGGAATAGAAATATTTTTAAGAATATATAAGTGGGTTAATAACGTAAATTTTTATATATATATAGTTAAAATAAATTTAAAAGCAATATATTATATTTATGATAGTTATCTTATTTAAGATATTTATAGGATTCTTGTCTTATTTTAGACGATTTGTGTATCATTATAAATTTATGCGTATTCTTAGTATTGAAATAGAGAATTTCAATTTCATATTCTAAAATATATATATATATCTATAAATTGAACATAGTATTTATAGTATTTTAATGAATATAGTATTTTTGTTTATAAATTTCATTGACTTAGAAATTTTATTTTATTGTGTAGTAATTGAAAAGAAAAATAAAAATAAAAAAATCATAAGTCAAAGTCAAATATTTTATTTATTTGGAGCCTAATTTTATTTATTTATCTACGTATTTTGTTTGCTATTGAATTCATATGACTCTTTATATTTTGGGTTGATCAGTCTAAGTGGCTTTAGATATTTTCATCATCTTTTCAACGCTATCTTCTTTTTGTAATATGGATCATACTTTGATGGAATCACATGTGAAATTGATACAAATTCAATAAATAATAAGTAATACTCCATCCGTCCCAGAAATAAGTATCCATCTGCTTTTTGCACGTAATTTTAGAAATATTAGTATTATATTAGAATATAGTAGGAATAAAATAGAAATGATCAAAATAATTTTATTAGTATGTGTGATACAAAGGTAATGACATTTGTGTAATATACTGTAAGTTGTAAGGGTATTTGTAATGTTAGATAAATAGTACAGTTACTAAAAGAGGAAATAGATACTTTGTTATGGAACGTACTAAAATGGAAAAATTGATGATTTGTTATGGAACGGAGTGAGTAACAATAATAATTGTGATTAGGTAGTATTCTTTTTCTATTTTGATTTATATAGATTTTTAAATAAAATTAATTTTTAAAATAATACTTTATATATATATATAAATAAATATATTTTTATAGAAATCTATAAATGTATGAAAAAAAAACACTTGTTTGGTTGTAATATGAAATTAATTTAAAATGAATTGTTGATTTGAATTTTTGTTTAAATAATATTTTTAAAAATATATATGTAAAATAATTATATAATCTAATATATTTATATGTTACTATTTTAGTAGTTGTTTTTTTTTTATGAAATTTTTTCTATAAGTTTTACTTATATTTTTATTCTAAATATTAGAAGAAAATGCAAATAATTAATTACTACAAATATTAAAAATAAAAATAAAATATTTTTTAATTATAATTTTATTGTTAACGACTATGGAGAAAAACTTATACAAAAAAATGATGATTGATCATATTAACTAAAAAATATACTCCATTAATATATAAATATATGAATTTAAGTTAAAATTTAATTTTAGATTGTTGTCGAATTTATAATTTAATTATAATCATATTATTATTTCTGTATGTTTCACATATCATACAATACATTTTATTATAATTAAATAATACAAAAATAAGTTCAAATATATTATTCCCTCCGTCCCATGTAATATGAGTGTATTACCGTCGACACGAAAATTTAGGTAAAGTATAATTAGTAAGTAATAAGAAGTGTATTAGTAAAAATAATTATTATTTAGTAAAAATAATTATAGATTAAAATTAAGATAAGTAAATAGTTTAATTAAAATTAAGAAAATTTAAAATTTAAAATGCGATTAAAATGCATAATTATATTTCTAAAAATAAAAATGACAAGTTATATAGGAGAAACGAAAATAAAAAATAGGAACAAATTATTTGGGACGGAGGGAGTACAAAGGTAGCATTATTCATTCAATCTAATTGTAGATAACATCGAATATAAAGGATGGCCCAAATAAGATCTTAGCTAGTGTCTTGTCCTTTCATCAAAATATATTTATTCAATTTTTCATTTTAAATATATTATATATATATATGTAATAAAATTATAGACATAAATAACCAATATTTAATTATCCTGCACAAAATAATATCCGTAAGACCCATTTTTACATATAAATTATTATTATCATCACAGTAACAAATTATGAGAAGGTAGTGTGAGTTTGATGGGTAATGGGCTCAATTTTTTTAGATATTTTTAATTTATAAAAATATATATATATATAGTTTATTTGAAGTTAGATGAATTTTAGAAACTATGATTTTAATTTTTTTTTCACATAATTTTTTTTAATAAATATAATTATATTTTAAAATTTATAATTTATAAAAAAAATTACTTATATATTTTTTAATTATTTATTAATTACATAATAATTAAAAATCTGTATTTAAGTTAAATGAGATAAATTAGCTGGAATGGAATGTATATTTTAAATAGTATTTAAAAATAAAAAAATGTATATTTAAAACGCTAGATGAACCAACTCCGACGTTCTTACCGTTGCACGATGTATCATACATAGATTATTTAGTAAGAAATAAATTGAATTGGCGAGGCCTGAAATGGTCAACAACAACCCAACCCAATTGTACTAAATATCATCTGTCCACTAAAATCTTGACACGTGGCGGTCAGTGCGTGGCGATTAGTGTTCTTCTGATCGCGCGTGGGATTGGCCTGGACTAAAAAGCGACGCTATCCCGCAATGGACACTAACCCCGCCACGTGTCTTTGCCTCTCTTTCAATTCCAGCCACAAGATTCCACGGATTTCTCGATCGTTCTACATTTACACCCACCTCCTCCAAAATTCTCTTATTTTCACTTTGACCCCTCATGAGGTGGCGACCGTACACCCCTCCTCTAATCTCCTCCATCCCCTCTTCATAGAACTAACTCACAAAAAGCTTTTTTGTTCTTTTGCTCTCTCCACTTTTCTCTCTCGTTTTCGCAATTCCTCTTTTTGATCGTCTTCCGGCGTGGTGTTTTGGGTCGGAATCGCGTCTTGTTCATCCGTTGCTGGATTGTTTCTTCCCGGAATTTTGGTTCGTTTTGGTGGTTTGGGTTACAGATAAGGATTCTAGGACGCTGTGCCTTTTTTGCACCTGATTTTTTTCAGACTCTGCTTTTGGTTTGTGAAAGTTTCGATGTTCAGAAATTTCTATATTTGGTGTGTTGAAGCGTAGCTGCTGCTGGAGCTCCACTGTTGGCGCTTTTTTTCGGTAAATCAGGTGGTTTTTGTGTGGAAACAGGCAGTGTTTTCGCCCTTTCGTGAGGCTTGGTTCAGTGAGGAGCATGAAATTTTGAGCTTCTCTTGTCGTTTTGTAATTTCGATGGAGAAGAAAGATATATCGGATATGGAAGTTTGTTTGTTTCTGAATCAGGAAGTGGTCCCTTCTTGGTATTGTAAAAAGTCGTTTGTTATATAAAAGCCTTTCTTTCTGGAGATTAAGTGTATCGAATCAGCCGAGGAAATTTAGGAATTGCTCGGAAAGAGGATTTGGTGATATTGATTGTGTCTGCTACTATGGCTGTGGTGAGCTTTATTGCTTTTGACTTGGCTTTCAGGTTGTTCAAAATGCCTGTGGATTTGCCTTTTGTGTTCATGCTAATTTTCTCTGCTCCTCGAGAGTGCATTAACGTGTTGAAACTTGAAACCTCGGGTTTGAATGTTGGTTTGATGATGATTGTTCTGAACTTAGTTTAGGGGTAGCCAAATTTTGCTTAGATTTTATCTAACTAATATTTGAGTATTTACATGGTAGCAAAATTAACAATTCCTTCGAGTAATTAATTTTACCTACCCCTTCAATTTTTATGTATTTTGAAATGCATATGAACCCTTTCCTGTTAGGATTTTAAAAGATGGATTATAAGGTTGAGCTCCATGTTTGATGTATATAATTGATCACATTCATATTGCGCAATATACTAAGCATGAATGTATAAGCTTTGGGATTTTACAGCCAACTTCACTCCTACTGTGATCTAGTGTTTAAAAAGGAAAAGAAAAAGTGTGTGGCCTGGTGTTCTTGTCTTGATTAGAAAGTTTTAGTTGTTCTTATCTTATAGTATGCAATTGAACCTTGCAAGACAGAAGTGTTTTCAATGCTTCTTTGCGTTGGTTGTTTTCCTACAGGAGCATAATGGATGCAATGGATCCAACATTTCCTCACCTACAGGAGACAAATTTTTGTTAGACTTGGGTTCCCCTACTACGAAGGCTATCGAATTGAAAGAGCAGTTGAATTCCGGGGATGATGACTTCACTCCAAAGGTATACATACGCACCGGACTTGTTTTTATGTAGATGTAAATATTCAATGTATCTTTGTTTACATTTCATTTTTCATATCTGTGCAGGCAAGGAAACCGTATACCATTACCAAACAAAGAGAAAGATGGACTGAGGAAGAACACAGAAAGTTTATTGAGGCTTTGAAACTTCATGGCCGAGCATGGAGAAAAATTGAAGGTGGTTGTTTATAGCTGAGTCATTTATGGCCGCATGTTTCATATCTTGTTTTTCCATCTGAGATTGATTTTATTTCCTCCCTGTTTTTCAGAGCATGTGGGAACAAAGACTGCAGTCCAAATTAGAAGCCATGCTCAAAAGTTTTTCTCCAAGGTTTTAGTGCTCATAAATCAATACCATTATCTGCCCTTATATCTATATGCCGCCTTTTCGAGTAAGTCATATTCTCTATGACACCGAGGCGTGCAAATTCTGTTCTTGAAAAAGTCGTAGTGATTATGACAATGCTTGAGTATCATTTTGTGGGTTAGGTTGCTCGTGAATCAAATACCTGTGAAGCAAGTTCCGTGAAGCCAATAGAAATTCCTCCTCCTCGGCCTAAGAGGAAACCTGTGCATCCATATCCACGCAAGCTGGTTTCTCCTGTCAAAACAATGATCATAATACCTGAGAAGCCTCTGTTTTCTGCATCACCAAACACCTCGGAACGGGAAAACCAATCTCCTAAATCTGTCTTATCTGCAGTTGGGTCAGATTCATCACTCGGGCCTGACTCCACTATGCTTAATGGCAGCCCTTCATCTGCTACATCCGCTCTAGTGCCCGATCCCGGCAATGCATCGAGTACAGAGATGCTGCCCAAGTGTCTTTTAGAAGATGTTATATCTTCTCCGCCCAATCATGATGATCAGAAATTGAGCCCTGATGAAGAAGCTCCCGCTCCTGTTCCCCTGGTACGAACTTTATATATTTTTAGCATTCTTGTGATGTGTTTGCTACGATGCAACTCATCCTCTCAGCTAATCAGCCATGATTTCTTTTTTATTGACAGGGAGTGGAGCTTTCGTCGACTAACAGTAGTTGTGATACAAATCCAACTGAATTCACCACCCATAGCTTAAAGCTGTTTGGAAAAACATTATTAGTCGTGGATCCTAACAAACCATCGGATTTGAATGTGGAAAAGTGCAAATCCGAATCGCTCAATTGGAACGAAGCAACTTGTTTGTTTTCTACAAGCCCTTGTAATTATTCGTGGAAAGCCTTTCCTGACGGAGTCATGAAGAGCAACTTTTTGTGCGCACAAATGGCACACGACGATGAGTCAAACACGATGAGTGCTCATATGCTTCCATACCCATGGCTGTCGCGTTGCAGCAATGCTTCGGACGTGCATAGTCCAACCCCAGTGAAAGCTCGGCTGTCGAAAAAGGCGAACACAGAGGAAAGTGAGGAGATGAAAGAGGGATCTTCGAAAGACTCGAATAATACCCTCCTAATGTTTGATCGGAAAGGTATGGAAGAAGTGCCATTTTTGCCATTTTCGTCTCACAAGTTGAACAAGAGAATCTCGGCGCGGTCGGGATTCATGCCATACAAAAGATGCTTTTCAAAGCAAGGCTCGGCCATTTCCAATGCGAAAACTGCTGTGAAGACGGAGAAGCAGCGAATCCGCCTGTGCTTGTAACTCTGTAACCTGTTTCTTCATTTCCTTAAGGACTTCCGGCGATGACGGCGGCAACAGCGATGGCCCGGGCCGGGTAGGGAGATGTCTATTTTGTCAGGTATGGCTCTTCCCGTTGACTGTTAGTTAATTAGCATATGTTGGCATCATCTGTGATATATATATATATATATGCATTGTATGTATGTGTGTATTTATGCTGTGTTGATGGTTTTTGCTGTGTATTAATTGTACTGAATATACGTATGCATGCATCTCCTTTGCATTCCCTTTTTACCTTCGTAACTGTGAATTAATAATGTGGGAACTTTGTTAAGTTCAGTTTTGTTGTATATACCCTTAGTTTGGTTGGGATGGATGACTATAATTTATTAATTCCTCACTCCGTTAAAATTATTTTATTATTATTATTTATCGTCGTGATACAATAGTTTTATTTACTATTTTTATCCTTTTTAAAATATTAGTTTCATTTTCATAAATAATCATATTACTGTAAAACTATCTGTATTTTTTTTTATTATTTTTACATAATTGCCACTGTTTTTTATACTAATATATTCATAAAGACAAATAAAAATTAAATTTCGTGCCCAACACAACAAGATTAGATGGAGTATTATTTTGTTATTAGTTCAATTTATGCATAATAAACACTCATAACTTCACGGCTAAGAGTTATCTTTACACCACCAAATTATTCCAATATTTTGTTTTATAGTTATTTGGTAATAAATCAGAATGCCATTGTAATGCTTTTAGTTACCTTTATGTTTTCATAAAATAGTTCTGCAACTAAACATTTTGGGTTTGTTTGGTTTTGATTTGAGGTTGAGGTGATAATTTAAATTTTAAATTAAATAGTATTTTAATTTTTTTTTTATGAGTTAATTTTTCTGCGCTTTTAAGTCTTGTTTGTCATACATAACTTAATTTGTATGCAATTAGGTTTGGTCGAAAGTAGTTTATCCAAAGTACACACAAAATAACAGTTTTTGCGAATTTTTACCTCATTGAAAAAAATCAATAAATTTCATGTGAATGATGTTCCAATAATATTTTTACCTATAAAGTCAAAGATATTATGGTATTATATTAAAAAAAATTCGAAAAATATTTGAAATAAAAATTTGTTAAGAATGTATTACTACAGTAAATGAAACCATTACAAAATACTCTAAAGTTACATAACTCTGTTCCCATATCTTCATATACATAGTGTGTGTATCTATATATACACACACACACGTGTATATATATATAAAGTCATAGTGTGTGTATCTATATATATACACAAGTATATGTGTACATACTGTGTGTTTGGAACAGTAAGACAAGGTTCTGTCCGGGACATATGATCCCGTCTGCTCAACATAATCAAATTCTACAAAAACTATACAGGTAATAAATTAAATTACTATCCTCTCATTCATATGAAACTCGGATAACTCTTGATGTCCTTGACAAATCTATGAAAATAAAAGAATTCTGATTAAAGAAAACGCAACTAAAGATTCTTATATTTTGTGGTTGATTTTTTTTATTCCATTTTGTATTTAACGAAAAAATAGAACCAAAGCTCCATTGGATGGGTATATTTCATGTCAGTCCATTTGCTTTTGGAAAATTTTAGTAGGTATATTCCTCTATCTATATATATATATATATATATATTCATATATAATATATTATTTTTATTTCATTTTTTTGCGGAATATATTTTGTATTAGGTAATAAACATGTTTTTCTTTGCATATGCGGGACGGAATCTTTCCTTTGGCTTTCAGTTTTTTAAATTTTTTTTTTTTTTTTATAACATAGAAATCACAATCATTTTTTTTTATATTTTTTTTTTAACGTGAAAATTCGCAATAGCTATCTACCTGAAAAGTATGTACTAAGTAAACTCCAAACAAAAAAGAATATCATATTTTGAATTTATGATCGTACCGTCACTAGTGTATTCTCGCCATCCCTTAGAGAATTTTTCAAACCTACTTTGAAAATACTGTGAATGTGCAATTTTGGTGTCAAACCAAACCCTATTAGACAATTTTTGACACATACTTATCGTAAGATTGAGTAGTTTTTTCAAACAGTGCCACCACTATGCAATATTGCACCAAATTAACTCTTTTGCTTCTTGAATTAGAAGTTAATTTAAAAATAATATATTTAATTTATAATATAATATATTGAATAAATTTTTTTTAAAAATATATATTTAATTATTTTAATAACTATATTTTAATAAAACTCTTAAATAACTGGCGGAATGCTTTCGAAACCAATTCACAAGGGTTTTTGGACATTTTTTTGATCAATTTCAAATAAAAATGGAATTTCTACTCTTATAAAATGTTAGATATAGTTTGAAAACAAAGGGCTAAATTAATGTATACAATATTATTTTTTAAAAAAACTAAAATTTTATATTACCTCTGTTAGGGTGTAGTTGATATTTGAATATTAATTATTATATCAAAATATTATACAAATTAAGAAAAAAATTAAAAAATACTTTCATTAATATCTTGTAAAAAATTTATACAAAAATTATACAAATATAACGATATTTATAATGTTAGGTAAATGCGACACTTAAAGATAAAAAAATATATAAATATTTATTTATAATTTACATAAATAATATTAAATTCACATTATTATGAGTTTTATAAATTAATTTAATAAATATTCATTAATTATTAAATTAATACAAATCCAAATAAAATCTACTCATCAACGGACACATTTATTTTCAGAACTATCTAAAAATTTCAAATTTAAATAAAATTCTTTCCAAAATTAACAAAGTAACGTACACACAGATTTTGACAAGAAAAGCAAAAAGCGACGCGTGGCACCTGATTCTTACCTTTTTTACACACAACGAAGCCATTCTAGTCAAATTCTCTTCCACCGCCCTTACAATATGTGCATGTTTCTGTATATACATAATATATATATATATATATATAACCACCCTTGTACACTTTCACTTGCTACACTTCGCCAAATTTGTTCACAATAAATGGCTTCTGCAGCTACGATCACCTCCAAGGATGCGGATAAGGTCCTCTCCAAGCTTCGATCCGAGGTCGCCACCCTCAACCAAATAAGGTTTGTTTTCCTAAGCTTTCTATAGTTTTCAACTGTTTTGTGTTCGTGCTTATGTTAGATCGGTGGTTGATTTTGGCGTTTTGAAAATATTTTGGTTCAGTGGAAACGAGAAATCTGGATTCATCGACCTGGTAAGCCGCTATCTCAGGTACGTCGAAAGTTTCTGGCGTTGTCGCGGTTTTGAATTGGGAATTTCGCTAAATAATGCCAAAATTTGGTGTTCGTCGCTCATTTCTAAGTGCGCGCAGCAAGCTTTGGCGGTTGAGTGCGAGAATATCAGATTTGATCAGTTATTGAAAAGCTTCGCTTCTTGTTTTTCTTCAGCTTGTTTGAATTTCTATGTTATTGAGTTTCTCTGTGTCTTTTGATTCTGAAGATAGTATGATACTTCCGTTTTGACCTGTGTTGAAGTTTCCTGGAGTGCATTTGAATAAGAAATTCCAATAATGTGAAGTTTTTGCTAAGTTATTTGTCCCACTTTCTTCCTTTGTTTTTTGTCGGTAATCAAAGTGGTGATGCACAAGAGATAGAGTGGAGTAAGATCCGGACGCCAACTGATAAGGTGGTGGTGCCTTATGATGCCTTAGCCCCTGTCCCTGAAGGTGCACTCATGTTTAACTTAGCATGAACTTTGAAATGATGATAAAGTTGCCCCTTGATGTGCACGTGATAATTGATTGGTTTTGCTTTGATGCTATTCTACTTTGAAATTTTTGCTATTGCAGGTACGGCAGAGACTAGAAAGCTTCTGGACAAACTGGTGGTATTAAAACTTAATGGAGGCTTGGGAACTACAATGGGTTGCACTGGTCCAAAGTATGCATTTACAAATTAGCCCACTTCTATTGTTGTTATTTATTTTGATTGCTTTGCAACTGTTACTTTCTGAATTGAAGTTATCAATTAAACGAATAGGACGATTTTTTACATTTTAAGCTCAACTTATTTAGGAAAGAGTCTAGCTCATGGTTGTCCCCTAAGTTAAATGAGTTGGAAATAGTCTTTGATCTTGGCTGTTAAATATTTCTCAGTTTGAACTTGAGCTTACCCTGACTAAGAGTCTTGGCTAGGAATAGTGTGGGACAGAATGGTTGTCCCCTAAGTTATATGAGATACTTAAAAGATATAAAAATCACAGGAGCTGAATTGTGCAATTTCAAACAAAAGTCTAGGTTCAAGCTCTAGCTCATTAAAACTTTGAATAAGTCAAGCTTGTGCTGAAGTTTGATTCCCTGAGTTTAAGTGGAGCTATTACCGACCCCATTAACTGAGCTCATCAGCTTGTTCGCTCTTTGTTTTAACCTTAAATTTTACCGATATGAGGAAACCGAAAATGAGGTTGTTGACCTTGACAGAAATAAACAATAGAGGTGGACATGAATCTATTAAGCCGACACAGTGACTTAAAACAAATAACAGTTTCGTGAATGCAATATTTTTCAGAGCGCCTAAGCTCTACTTGTGCTGACCATTGCACTCCTGAGATCCTATTTATTTTGCATTTTAATGTACTTAACAATTAAATTGAAAGAAGATGAATCATTCTTCGATCAGAACTAATCTGACATTGATGGAAACTATGCAATATGTTATCAGTTCATCATGTTTTTGATCAGTTTGTATTTTGTTTGTCTCAATGCTTGTCTATTCATGTCAACATTACTTTTTACACATCTTGATGTATTTGACTTGATAATTATATACACATATATTTTGGTAACTTCAATCTTTTTTCCTTTTAAATGTTGCAGATCTGTTATTGAAGTTCGTGACGGTTTGACATTTCTTGACTTGATTGTCATTCAAATTGAGGTTCATTGTCTGAACTAGAAGTAACACACAGCCTTATCCAAAAGAGCATGCAAATAAAATATATTTTTTATTTTCTCAGAAACTCAACGCCAAATATGGATGCAATGTCCCTTTGCTTTTAATGAACTCATTCAACACACATGATGATACAGAGAAGGTGAAATTTTGATTGTACAGACAAGGTTGGTCTTCCACAATAAACATTTAAATTAAGTAAATTGCTGATTTTTTTTTTTTTCTTTCACAAATAATAGATTGTGGAAAAGTACACCAATTCAAGCATTCAGATTCTCACATTTAACCAGGTTTTTCTTCCCATTGGATTTGTTTTTTTTCTCCTCTTTCTTATGCATTGAGAAATTACTACATCCATTTTGAGATATGTTTTATGTTGGTTAATATCTCAACACTTGCTGCAATTTCCAGAGCCAATACCCTCGTATTGTCACTCCAGATTTCAGTCCACTCCCCTGCCAAGGAAATACTGGAAAGGATGCATGGTATTTTGTGATATCCAAGTTTTGCTATAATACATGCAGAATTTTAGCTGGACAAGTTATGAAGTATTTAACATTGTGATGTATTGTTGATTTGCCAAGGTTGATGGTTTTCTTTCTATAGACCTGAATCATATTATGATGGTTTCATTGTGTTCTGAAATTTGAATTTATCTTTGTTGGTCTTATTTTCTTATTTTATCATTAAAAGATTACAAAGTGGAAACCTGTTTCTCACAAGGTTCTTAATTATTACTTTATGTTGCTTTTATTGTTTATATTTCGTGATTCTTTCCACGATTTACCGCTCAACGTAATTGCATTTATTTTTCCTTTTATGTAATTGGAGTTATCAGTAGCTCATCTTTATCTGAAATTAATGACCTCTTCCATACAATCCATGCAACTACAATCATTTGTTGATTCAAACCTCTTGAGCTGTTGAGCATTTTTCCTTTCAACCTTATTTAAGTATTTTTCTTGTGCAGGTATCCTCCTGGTCATGGAGATGTCTTTCCTTCTTTGAAAAACAGTGGGAAGCTTGATGCATTGTTATCTCAGGTCTAGCCTACTGTCCTTAGTGCGATTTATCCGACACTATAGGTGTAAACAAGACTCAATAATTCCTGTGAGTCTTCTTTTTTTCTTTTTACTTGCAGGGCAAAGAGTATGTCTTTGTTGCCAATTCAGACAACCTGGGTGCCGTTGTTGATTTGAGTATCCTTTGTAATTCGATCTCAGCCTTTACATTTTGCATAAGACATTGTTTTTTTGTTACTTTTTTCAAGTTACATTCTGATTGAAGTAATATTTATTGCTAATGATGAAACTATATTTGAAGTGAACTGTGAAACCATATCCTTGATTCACTGTTATAGAAATTCTAAATCATCTTATCAGGAACAAGAATGAATACTGCATGGAGGTAATAAAGTAAAGAATCGCTTCACTGATTTGTAGCCTTTCCAAGACAAGTTTTATTGCTTAAAGATGGGTGGTTTTGTAGGTCACACCCAAGACACTTGCAGATGTTAAAGGTGGTACTCTGATATCATATGAAGGGAAAGTACAGGTATGCTGTCTTCCTATAACTTTTCAATTATACTCACCTGTGAATCCTGACACCGTGTATTGGAAGATTATTTTTGTATACTTTTGCATGGTTATTGTCAAGATATTGCTCTTCTTAAAAAAAAAACAAAAAATCTCTTATCTTGTGTGGTGCAGCTCCTGGAAATAGCCCAAGTTCCTCAGCAACATGTGAGTTCTGCTGTTCCATTAGTTCAAGTCATGTCTATCTTATAAAATAATACATGATGATAGAGGCAATACTTCTCAACATTGATGAAAGAGCTCGTGTATACAATAATATTGCATGTGTTGCATGTCCACATTAAATATGATGTTTCACTTCAAAATCATACAGTTTTGCTCTTAAATTAACTGACCACTAGAAACAAAAACGAAAAGATTGGAAAGGCATTGTTAGACCAAGATGTGGTATTTTGACATCAATCTCTGTTTCGCACAGGTGAATGAGTTTAAGTCAATCGAGAAGTTCAAAATTTTCAACACCAACAACTTGTAAGTCAGCAAACTTTGTATTTTTCTTTCTCAGTCGGCAACTTCAAATGTTTCTTTGGGTCTAAACATCTGAGTTAATATAAACCAAATCATGCAGGTGGATCAACCTGCGGGCAATCGACAGGCTTGTCAAGGGAGATGCACTGAAGATGGAGATTATTCCCAACCCAAAGGTAGGTTGGATCTATTTTTCTTGAAGGCTTCTTAGCATATTGGCATCTTTTTTGATAAAGTTAATATGATTTCTAGGAAGTCAATGGCGTCCAAGTTCTTCAACTTGAGACTGCTGCTGGGGCAGCAATAAAGGTACATAAATTTATTACTGTGAAATTCTTGTTTTCTGAAAAGCCTGAGAAAATGAACTTCTCATTGGCACTTGAGACGTAAATTACATGTTTATAGAAGTGCAGGGCATTATTATATCCCTTTTAAAAAATGCAACTTTTTGCAAAGGAGTAATATATATATATATATATATATAGATATATCGATACACACACATATATGAATATATTTTCGACCCAGAGAGAGAGAGTAAACTACCCATGGTATTCATGCTTCACTTTTTCTATATCTTCTCGATTGATTTTTTCTTCTTCTTTCAAAAAATTCTTTATTTCAAACTACCTGATAAACAAGCAATAACTCCCCTCTTCTTCTCATCCATCATTTAGTTCTTTGACAATGCCATTGGAGTCAACGTTCCCCGCTCTCGATTTCTTCCTGTGAAGGCTACTTCAGATTTGCTTCTAGTCCAAGTAAGCTAATTTATCAGACATGAAATTCAGCTTATTAACAATCTACGGCTTTCTACAAGTTGACTCAAACATTTTCATTTTCAGTCGGATCTCTATACTTTGCATGATGGCTTTGTGATCCGGAACCCCAGAAGGACCAATCCTGCCAATCCTACTATCGAATTGGGTCCTGAATTCAAGAAGGTTAATGTTCATTCTTGCTATTTTTATTTTTTTTTGCCTTATATTGATTGATCTGTTTACTTTCGGGCACGTGATCTCTGATCATTCTCCTCAGGTTGCCAATTTCTTAAGCCGGTTTAAATCTATTCCTAGCATCATTGAACTTGATAGCTTGAAGGTGACAGGTGATGTTTGGTTTGGAGCTGGTGTAATTCTCAAGGTACTCTTCTTTCCTTGTATTCACTAGCTTTAGCATCTATAATTGTTTAATATCACCTGTGAAAGTTAATGTAGATAAATAAAAAAGAGTTTGAAGGTGAGCTCAGATGTTACATTTAAAAACGCAATAATTTTTCATATTCATTGTAAATACATGGATCAAGGAATATTATTATTTATACATGATAGATAGCGGTATGTTTGTAATTTTAGGGATAATGTAAGTGTGTTTTATTTTTGTTTTGGGGCCATATTTATTAAATAAGAAGAAGAATATATCGATTATATACAACCTAAAATAATAAAATGGATAGTGAAATATGTGGCGTTGCATCCTTTTTTTGGCTTTATCGATTTAAAATTTTCATCCAGGGCAAAGTGACTATCACTGCTAAATCTGGTTCAAAACTGGAAATCCCCGACAGAGCTGTGATCATCAACAAGGTAGTATATCCATACCATTCAACTGTCAATCTTATTTATTTATTTCATGAATTATGTGTTTACATACTCAAATTTCTTTTAACTTACATGATCAGGAAATCAATTCCCCAAAAGATATATAAGAGAGTTCCTCTCATAATCGTATGGCGTTTGTTTTGTTTGTAACGTGTAGACTTTGAACTAAGAAGAATAAAAGTCGTCGGAATAATAAATATATATTCGCCGATTGAAAGGCGGAAATCCCCATTGTTATGAAGGTTGTTTCCATGTTTCATTTCCGTGCATATGAGTTAATAAAACAATCGAATTTAGTTATACAGCTCGATGATCATCGATAAGAAAAGATCATATAAAGTTGAAATTATAGGTCCATATTTGGTCTACATTGTGTGTTGGATCTCACTTTTCTTGTTCATTTTGAATTGCTTTCTTCACTTGTGAATTGGAGGCATCTAATTCCATAAAACATTAATTGTCAATATTGAATAAACTTGTGATACAATTGCACTATAAGCTTACACAATTTGATAAATTTATAAAGTTAAAAATTGGACACGAAAAGTTGTCAATTTTCTATCCTCATTGTGCTCAATCAATCTTGTAAGTCCACTCTTAATTACTTGATGTTTGAAGCCCATTACCAAAATATATATTCAAAGCACATGTTCAATATGAAAAAATAATTCACCCCAATTTTTTTTTATTAAATAATTAAATTTTCGAGGAAAGAAAAGGTAGAAATAATAAGTGAGACCTACATTGTAGGGTGCCGTGCGTTTATTTGTTGGCTAAATAGTAAAATTTTGAAATGATATAAAGATACAATATTATAAATATAAAATTATTTTTTTAAGTGTAATATCATGAATAAAAATAAATATTTGATTTGATATTTTTAGTAGAAAAAAAAAAATTATAGTAGAATCAAAATCAAAATCTTTCAAACAAATTATTTTGATATTTTCAAGAAATTAGATCTAACTTCAATTATTAAATTATAAAATACAACATAATATTTTCTCTTAAAAAATTTAAAATAAGAAATAAAGGGTTTAGTTGGTTTGTCTTTTTTTTTTTTTTTTTTTTTTATAACATGAAAATCCGGCAATCGTCATTCAAAATACGCACTGATTTGTCTTTTTAGTTGCGTGTAAGAATGATTTGATATTACTCTTTCAGATATAATAATTATATTTTTTCTTAAATAAAATTGCATAATTACAAGTAAAGAATATAGTCAAAGAATTCCAATTCGCTTTTATGTTCTTAGCTCTGTACTAATTTTATTCATTTTATACTAATGGTGCTATTAATTAGTCAACTTTGAATTTAATTTTTTTGGTTGAATTTTTTCCTTGCTCCTCTTTCCAATTTCTCATTCATTACACATTAATGATGCATTAAGTTTTCTCTCATTATTATTATTATTATTATTATTATTATTATTATTTCTATTATTATTATCATTTTTTATTTTTTTTCTAGATAGGAATGATAAAAAAAATGCATATACCATATGATTTGTGAAATAAGAGTATGTATAATATGCATAATATGTTTGTATTTAAAATGTGTATTCTATGGAAGTATATATTATATGTTCTATAAGAATATATTATGTGCCTTTAGTTATTGTATTATATTTTATATTAATATAAATTATGTATTTCTTGTAATAATCTCTTATATTTCTTTTTATACTTCTTCCTATGCTATTTAGTGCCAAAACATGATTAGTAAAAATTATTAACTAAAATGATATAGAGTGATCTGTACTCCATACTATATTTATATATAATTTATTTATAAATAATTTTATCTATTCACAATTTTATCATATCCATTTTAACAAATAATAATTAATTTATCATTGAATTTAACTAAGTTCAGTTCCACTCCGTTTAGGAAGATAAACGAATGGAGCGGAACAATATAAATAAATTCATTAACAAAAATAGTCTAATATTTGTTCGTCAATATCCATAAATATATATATGAAATTATTAATTTAAAAATAAATAAATAAAATATTATATATATAAATTAAAAATAAAATAAAATATCTATCCGAACTAGCTCAAACAAGTTAATCGAGCATGACACGAATACAAACTCAAACAATAAAAATATTTAACGAAAAAATACTAACCTTGTTGTTCAGAAACATTAACAAAAGAACATAAAAGATTTAAAACTATAACAGCTCTATTTTGGAGTAAATTTCAAAATAATTAAAACTAACTCTACATTAAATTATTTAATATTTACTTTTAATTGCCTAATGATCCTCAAAATTTGATAAATTACCCATACTATCACATGCACACGCACACGCCACTGGGGGCATGAAATATGTACGCCGAGAAAGCATATAAATATACATCTTCAATGGCATTATCTGTGATTCTCATTTTCTGTTCGCTTCTCTCTTAGCTTTCATTCTCCCTGTTCGATTTCGCGAACCAGTGGTAAATGATCATGGCGGGAGGTGAATTGTACCTCGCCGTTTTGATGCTCGCATGCGCCGCAGTTTTGGTTCGATCGGATCACCAGTACAAGGTCGCTGATCCAGTGCCCCTTTATGCCAATAAAGTCGGACCGTTTCATAACCCTAGGTAAGCTTTTCGTTTTTCTTTGATGAAAATACGAAAAGAATAGAATTGTTGTTACGGTTGTTTGTGTGAAAATCGTATGTGATGTGTATTGCTCGTATTTTTGTAATTTACTGTTCGAATTGTTGTCGAGAGCTTTACAGTTTGAGGCTTTTACCTATGGTGTTTGCACGTTATGGAATGGATACCTCTGGATTGTTGTTACGGTTTAGGACTGAGGTTGATTGGACTTCGATTGGATAATATGTTGAGCATTTGGCGTTGGAGAATGGACCGGATCATTTTTGTGTTAACGACGTTCTAGTGCTACTGATGAATTGAGAATCATTGAACTGGTTTTATTGTGAGTGAGTGAGTTAGTTAAAGAAAGGGAGTGTTTGATGGAAATCATTATATTATAGGTTGGGAACAGAATAATGTGTTATAGGATGTTCTGACATCGTTCTTAGCTTGTTATCCTTTTCTGTTAGAAATTGAGACTTTATTTAATTTTTGAAGCAACTGATGTTATGACTCTGAGCTGGAAATATGGATTTAATGGTGAGAGTTTCTTCACCTGCTCTGTCTGTTTGATCTATGTCTCTGTAATTTACTTATCAATGTTTGCAGAGCCAATTATCTCTTGGCTTACATAGAAACCAATGTTTCATTTCTGGTTGTGGAAAGAAGTGATTTTCCATTCCTTGAATTCTTTGAAGGAACAGCATACTAAAAACAGCTTGGATAATTCACATCTCTCCGCCAAAAAACTAGGCAATCTAAGACGTAAAGGAACAGTAATTCGAAACAAAATTTAAGCATATCAAAAGGGAAACTAGAATTGAAGAGATTATGATTCAATTCCAACTGATTGTTTTCAAGCTACAAATTATTGCTCTTTCTTCAGTTAGAATATTAAATGGTAGAGTTTCCTGATAATACTCTGACTTTATTTGATTCTTTTGTCTCAGTGAAACATACAGATACTTTGATCTTCCTTTCTGTTCTCCAGGTTTGTATCTTTCTTTTATCTTTGTGATGATACCATAGTGGCAATTATTTTTATATAAATGAGTTTTGATTCTTCTGTGCAATTGCTGTAGAGCAAATAAAAGAGAAAAAGGAAGCACTAGGGGAAGTTCTGAATGGAGATCGTCTAGTTAGTGCCCCATACAGAATTGAATTCTTGCAAGACAGAGACTCTGAAGTTGTCTGCAAAAAGAAACTAAACAAGAAAGAAGTTGCACAATTTCGAAAGGCAGTCTTGAAGGACTACTATTTTGAAATGTACTTTGATGATCTGCCCATCTGGGGCTTCCTAGGCAGAGTCGAAAGAGATGGAAAATCTGACCCCGAAGAGCACAAATACTATCTATTCAAGCACCTTCATTTCGAGATTTTCTACAATAAAGATCGTGTTATCGAAGTTAATGCACGGGCTGACCCCAATGCTCTCGCAGATGTCACTGTGGACAAGGAGATTGATCTTGAACTCATGTATTCAGTAAAATGGAAAGAAACAGACACTCCTTTTGAGAGGAGAATGGAGAAGTACTCGCAGTCATCCTCACAGCCGCGCCACTTGGAGATTCATTGGTTTTCAATAATCAATTCTTGCGTGACTGTTCTCCTTCTAACTGGTTTCCTTGCCACTATTCTGATGCGTGTCCTTAAGAATGATTTCATCAAGTGAGTAAACACACATTCTTCTCTATATCCATCTTTTTCCTGTGCACTCATTTATATCTTAGTAAGATTCTGAATTTAATTCAACTTATGAAAAGGTATGCTCATGACGAGGAGATAGCTGATGATCAAGAAGAAACTGGTTGGAAGTACATCCATGGCGATGTATTCAGGTTCCCAAAATTCAAATCTTTATTTGCAGCAGCCCTTGGTTCCGGCACTCAACTCTTTACCCTGTAAGTCCATTTCCAACCAAACTCCTATCGTCCTAAAAGCATTCGATCTGGAAATGTTGTGAATAATTGTCATCTCATCATTGTCCACAGCACGGTATTTATCTTCATCCTTGCATTGGTTGGTGTATTCTATCCCTACAACCGCGGAGCTCTGTTCACTTCTCTGGTCATCGTTTATGCACTTACATCAGGGATTGCAGGATATACTGCAGCTTCTTTCTATCGCCAGCTAGAAGGAACCAATTGGGTAAGTGTATCATTATCATCAAATCGAAAGGGATAGATTATCTACATATATTCTTGATCAATTAAACTCTGTTTACTACACGTACAGGTTCGGAATTTATTACTAACAGGGAGCCTTTTCAGCGGGCCACTATTTGTTACATTCTGCTTCCTAAACACTGTCGCCATTACATACAAAGCTACGGCAGCATTACCATTCGGCACCATTGTAGTAATATTTCTGATATGGGCCCTGGTGACGTCACCATTGCTGGTCTTGGGAGGGATTGCCGGGAAGAACAGCAAGGTGGAGTTCCAAGCTCCATGCCGCACCACAAAATACCCTCGGGAGATACCTGCATTGCCTTGGTATCGCGGGACTCTGCCACAAATGGCTATGGCAGGATTCTTGCCTTTCAGCGCCATATACATCGAGCTTTATTACATATTCGCCAGCGTGTGGGGTCACAGAATATACACCATCTACAGCATCTTATTTATCGTCTTCGTCATCCTCCTGATCGTCACGGCGTTCGTGACTGTGGCTTTGACGTACTTCCAGCTTGTTGCCGAGGACCATGAATGGTGGTGGAGGTACGTAGATTTCAATTCAGTTGTATTGTATTAATGAATTAATGAAGAAATAAATGAGCATGTGTAGGTCGTTCTTGTGCGGTGGATCGACGGGGATGTTCATCTACGCCTACTGCCTGTATTACTACCACGCAAGATCGGACATGTCGGGATTCATGCAAACATCGTTTTTCTTTGGGTACATGGCTTGCATCTGTTACGGATTCTTTCTGATGCTGGGGACTGTCGGATTTCGGGCAGTTCTGGTGTTCGTGCGACACATATACCGCTCCATCAAGTGCGAGTAGTAGCACTCCAACTCCAATGATCAAGTCAGTATTCTCTATCTCTATCCTTTGTTGATTAGAATTTCAAACAACCAATTTTGCAGCATGACTATATATATATATATATATAGATCAGTAGAGGATTCTTATAAGGGCGTGGGAATTCATTTGATCTGATGAATAGAATTTTGAATATTATGTTATTTTCCAGCTAGTGTGTCTGTGTGTTTTTATGTGAACTACAAGAGTGAACCAATCTTCTTCTTGTCCTCTTTTTCTTGGGATAATATTTTTTTTTACTGTGAGATCACGAGTTCAAAGTCTTTATATGTTCAAGTCCATCTGCCACACATGGTTCGCATAGTGTGATTTGTCTGTAGCCTACGTTATTTGAAAAAAAGAAGCACAAATATTTGTCCACTCAATTTAGTCATTAAAAAATCACTCCTAACCAACCTGCTGCGATACATAATTCGACTAATGTGACTTGCCTTGTCAACAAAATATCTGAAACAAAAAATATATATAATTTAATAAAAAAAAATTTCACAGTTCATGAATTTTTTTTCGAATTTGCTATAGCAAACCTCACACAAATAAGGCTATAAAATTTATTATATATATATATATATATATGAGCTGAAATTTTCAGTGCAAATCTCACATAAGTGCATGTGAGATGATGTATTTCTCATGGGGATATTTTAATGTCCCAAAAACATCTCAATCAAAGTGATCCCAATCTAAGAAGAATTTGGTAAAAATTCACAAAATAAACTTCTTTAGATTAATATTAGATAAATTTACATAACATTTTATTACTAAGTATGCAAAAATCAAATTTAGTTAGTTATTAAATAATCAATATCAAATTTCCCTTTAATCATTAAATAATCTGAACTTCTTTTAGTTAGTTATACACTGTATATGCTCATATTATATAAGTATGCAAAAAATAAATAAATAAATAAGTTTTAGATATACTATTACCTTGATTTCCATGATGTCATCTAAAAAGACTTCTAATACCCTTAAAAAATAAATTTTTAGATGAATTTATACCGTTCCATCTAAAACATCTTTTAACACTATCACAGAAACTTCCCATAAATTTACACATTTCTATCTAAAAGATCTTTTTAATACTATTATAAAAATTCTCATTAGCAGTCACGTAAAAGATAATCTCTGTAAAATCATGAATTCAAACCGTCGACGCTCCATCATAATCAATTTGTTTTACTGGAGACACTCCCGCCAAAAATTTCGATGATATCGCCTTGATGCACGCCGTGCCATCTAAAAGACTTATCGTCATCCATCACATTTTGCTTGTGTATAAAGAAGAACCCATCCGGCGGAAGATCCAACTCCATCTCCTCCACCTCCTCCTCCTCCTCCGCCTTCATCGCCACCAACTTCTTCCTCAGCTCCCCTGCATTGTCCGAAGGATTCACTTCAACCGACACTTTCCCCTTCCCGTCGCTCGACAAAACAAACACCTTCAGCATCCTCGGCAGGCAAGCCGGAATCGGGGGTGGCGGAGGGGGCCGCACCACCACTTCCACATCCGAGTTATGCGACAGCTCGCAATCTTGCATGGTCTTTTGATCGGCGAGTTCAACGCCGTTGGCGCGGATAGAGAGTCGGTTCGTGGGCACCCCTTCCATCTTATTAATCTTCTCCTTGAGGTTGGCGACGGTGTCGGAGATGTCCATTTCGACGGCGTCGGGGGTCTTGGAGGCCGGCATTTTGAGGAGGAGGCGGATGTTGGAAGGAGAAGCGTGTTCGTCGCCTGGGAGCAGTAGGCGGATGCAGGAGAAGTCGACGATGTCGGAGTGGTGGATGTTGAGATCGTCGGGGAGGACGTTGCCTTTGAAGATCAGGGTTTGGTTCGGGACCGGAATGCCGCGCTCCTTTTCGATCTTTTCTTTGATCTCTAAAATGGTGTCGAAGAAACCAGCTTCGATCAAGAATTGGCTTCCACTCTTCGGATCAAACACCAAATCCATAATCAATCAATCAAAAGAGAGTGTGTACAAGAAGAGAGAGAATGAGAGAGAGAGATTTGAAGATGTATCACTATCAGTTACAATAAGTCCTATTCATGGGCTCTCTCTATATATATACTCTCTCTATAAAGAGAGAGAGAGGGAGATAACCTTCTTGAAACTGGATGCGATATAAATAAGTATTATAATATAAAAAATTAAAAATAAATATATAATATAAAAAATTAAAAATAAATAATTGATTTAATATTTAAAAAAAAAAATAGTACAAATAATGAATTTAAAATCCGATCACCCAAACAAACACACCCTACTAATAATGCCCAACAGTTACCATCCGCATTGAATGCTGCCATATACCAAACTACTAAAGAATCTGTCAACAGTATCACTAAATTACTGTACTGTGTCAATATATGTATATATATATATATGTTGATTCATATTCAATTAAAATTATAAATAAGCCAAAATGACACAAACTTGATAATTTGGTATCAAATTACAAAGTAGCTTACAATAATTATATGTCTATAAGCAGTCATTCAACAATCCTCTGATGCATTAAACATGAAATTAAGCTGACTGACTGGGCCAGAGTAGAGTTGTAGAGATAAAAAGAGATGGTTTTTTACTTTTTTTACCTCCATGAACAGCCGCCGAGTCTGATCACCTCCTCTGTGCCGCTGGCGCCAATCGGCTCCTTGTCCTTACCCGATTCCTCCTTCCGACTATTCCCGGTCAAGTCGCCGTATAAATCTTTAAGCTTTGCCAGATTACTGGATGCCGATGTCTTTTCCCTGTTGCTGTGTTCGAAAGTGCTAGAGCTCGTATGATCGCGATCATAAACACTTCGACTTCTGCTCCTGCTCCTGCTCCGGCTTCTACTCCGGCTTCTGCGGGAACTACCTCGACTCCTTCGATCATAATGGCCGTCTCGAGACCTCCTGTCTCGATTCCTGTCCCTTTCTCGATCCCTCTCTCTATCTCGGATATGGTCCCTGTCTCTTTCCCTGCCCCTGCCCTTGTCTGGATAATCTCGATCAGGTAAATCACGGTTATAGGGTGACCTCCTTCCGTTGTCATCTCTCCCTCGTGAAGGAGTTACAGCACGACGAACTGGTGAAGAATCCCGGGTTGATGCGCGATGGGGAGCACGCTGACCAAAGGAGACTGAAAGTGAAGCTTTGACAGACGGTGGCCTCCTTGCAGTCTCATCGGATCCGCGGGTGTTCTCACCAGTAACTCCACAAAGTTTTGTGGGCAATTTCATACTTTCAAGTTTCGATGTAATAGTTCGCAAGACAGGAACAGGGATGCGGGGGAAAAGTGTGTCAAAGTAATACTGCAAGAAGAAAATAAATCAGGAGTTGTTGTATAAATGGAGAATCAAACCCCTGTTAGTTAAGCACAAACAATCCCCTAATGTTTTGTATAAATCCCAGAAAGTTCAATTAAAACATGTTGCCTTACCTGTCCGAGAAGTACATCGCGAATATACACACCCATTGTAGTCATTCGGCCATCAGAACCCGGAGAGAATTCCTGGTTTAGAATATTCTAAAAAATAAGTACACTCCATAGTAATGCTCATACGTAAGATTTGATTTTTGGCAAACAAAAAAATTCAACAATATAACTGTAAAAGGGTTACAAAGTACAACTGCAAAGATTTGATCACATGACTCAAGAATCTGGAGAAAAACAGTACTCGGAAGTCAGAATCAATAAATTTTTTTTCCTTGATTTATTAAAAGTCCTCAAGCCTCCGCAAAGAAAGTTAAAAAGTTTTAAGAGGAATGGACATCAAGATATTCAGACATCTAATGCTGTATCTTGAAATATTACAAGGTTTTTTCATTCATGATTTTATCACACAAAAGCAGTTCACCTGCACAGAAATCATGCTGATGCACCACTGAGGAATTGTAAATCCTTCGATCCTGGACGATCAGGTATCAGAAATACAAAAGGAGAGGATCCCAAATCTATACAAGAGCTCTATGAAACAAGAAACAAGTAATCTTAGACATTTTCCATAAAACAACCATGATAAAGGACACATTGTGAGTGTGTTTACTTGTAAAATTTTGGTTTTTAGTTTTAGTTTTGAATAATAAAATTTTGTATTGAAATAGTTGTTTGATGTGATATAATTATGTATTGATGTGATATTTTGAATGTCAAATGAGATTTTAGTGTAATATAATAAATAAAAAATTGGTGTTGGATTTGATGTTTTTGCGATAAGAGTGACAAAAGACTACCTACCAGAGCTCACTGCCACAAAATTGAATTGCAACAGCAAGGTATTATATAGAAAATCAAAACAAACTGCGACCAGTCAATTATGGCATGCGAAATCAGTTGGCTATAATGGAGAACAATAAGGTACTTAACAAAGAGAGGACAACAAAAATAATGAGCGCAAAGAGAAGAGGATTCACACCAAAATTAACCAACAGCATACTGTATATATTCGTCTTTGATTATAAATAGTAGAGAAGAATTATTTCAATGAGATTCAAAGAGCAAGAACCAAGCAAAATCACTTTCTTACCTCATCATCTTTCAGGTATGGTTCATACCAACCCCATAATGTCTTTGGATCTGCAGCATATCTTAAGTAAAGAAATCCGATCTGCAATATCAAATGTGAGCGCGTCATATCATAATAGTAAATCATAAAAGTACCACAATTACAGTCTGCTGCTGCTAAAAATTAAATGATGGAAGGATATATTATTTACCAACTAATTCAACAAGTTCTCACTCAACTTGATAAAGAAGCTTCAAAGATCAACAAAGCCAAGTGGGCTGGTGTACATATGTTTTGGTTTAGAGAATACGTCTTGTGAATACTAGGAAACTACACACATGATGACATATGGCAGACAGGATGATAAGCTGGTGAAAGACAGATGTCTAATAGGATATCATGAATAGCTAATCGCATCAATCATAGTATCAATATAACACCAATCATCATTTCTATAGAAAATTTCCTGATTTCATTTTCAATTCATGATGAATATGGATAAGTTCTTCGGCATTTTACAGGTTATCCCATCTGTTGACATTTTATATGTAGCACATTAAAACACATTTGACTTGCATCTAATTTACTAAGTTACTTTCCCTAGCTTGCATATCATGCATTTCAAGTATCAAACAAAGGATGTTGAAGCTATCACAGTTATTTTTTTAGTCTCTAAGATAATTAATCCAAATTTGTTCCTCCAGGAACCTTCACTCGAAAGGCTTTCTATATACTCATCATCCTTGAGATAAATGTATGTTGAGTCAACAACACCACATCTATTCAGTAGAAATCTTCAGCTTTTTTATAATCAAAAGTACTAGAGCAAGTTCCACACTTGTTATAATATCATAACATGATTGAAAGTTGAAATCAGAAATGCCCTAGCACATAGCTGTAAATGGCGTATGGAACAACACACTGCAAGGCCTATGCCACAACACGGGGGACAGCGCCCCACTATAAGTATTAATGTGACTTTAATACACACACATATATACATACACACATATGCAAGAAGTGATGTGAATAAAGCTGGAGAGCAGAGGCTTCGAGTGGGAGAGAGTCAATCAAAATAATATAGAAGACTATTAAAAGGATATAAAAAACGCTAATATAAACCTAATTAATAATATTAATCAAATCGCGCCTTGTGCCAGGGCAAAGATGCTGCGCCATAGCAACTGGCTCAGAGGCTGCGTCATTTGTAATGCTGCCTTATAATTTTTCCCCACAAAAGAAAAACTATTCAACACTCGCATTTTCCTTTAGTGGTTCATGGTTTAGATTGTTCAGTACTTCCATACATCATTTTTTGGAAACAAACACTAAAGGCAAACTAAAAAACACTTACTGCTCTTATATAAGGGGAATCCGGGTGCTGCAACAAGCCATGCATCTGTTTGACAGTGAGTTTCATGGTGAAGAACTTGTAAAGAAGGCAGAATGCAGTCGACGGCCCCCGGCAGTTTCCAGTCATCCAGGGCTCCACATGAGTGACAGTAACATAAATCTCATCAATCACTTCGTGATATGTTTTCAGTCTCAAAAGATCACGGAAGTAATCAGAGGAAAGTATATTCATGCACAGGACCTTCTCAATCAACTGATCAATAGGTCTCCCTGAAGACTTTACTTCAGCCATACTGAATCACCCACTTCCTGAACTGTATCACGTAAAACATCAAAAACAAATCACTGTTAAAACTGAAACACTATATAATCCCTCAGTTTAATTATAAAGTAAACAGGCAATTATCAATGCATGTTAGTAATAAGCTAGCAGTGATCAATGAGTTTTTCCTTCCTTTTTTTTCTCCGAGGGTTTAGCCAACTGGTATCAAAAGCCGTTACAACCCTAACTAACCTTGATTCAGCCCTGGATGTGCCAGCTACTGCAAGAGTTTCCAGTTCAATGATCAAATAACCTAACATTCATCCTAGCAAACAACACAGAACTCGTATAACAACACTATATTTTCCTCAAAAAGGACAAGCCATCATGTATCGAAAGAACACCTCGTATCCAAATTCTGCCATGGATGGGCCCACAGATAACTCTTAAATCGGGTCTCATCAAGGCTTCACCACAGTAGTTTGATGCCAACCGCCCCCAAACTACTCTGGGTTTATTGCATCTAGATTCAAATTCAAAATAAAATAAAAGACCGTAGCCAACCAAAAAAAACCCTTCTTTGGTTTTGCCATCCTGAAACTAAACTTAACTTTGTTCACGAGAAGGAAATCTGAAACTCAAATAGAAGTTCACGTTGAAAAGTAAGCTCACAGTATTATTTCTAAACTCAACATAACAAAAAGTTCGAACATTATTGCATCCAATCCAGCAATTGCACAAATCCGTTAAGATTACAGCGTCGATTTAATAAACTCGACATAAGTTATCCGCCAATTTCTACAGAAAACCCAGCCCAAAAAATCTAGTCATTCGATAGAATGAATGCACGAACAAGGAAACCTACGAAAAAGGGATCGATCCGGACGAGAACGCGGCGCAATACAATTGAAAACTAATACTCAGCAACCAATAATTTAGAAACATGATTCTTATGTATGGTTTGCTTACCCAGAATCGATGAATTGGAGGAACAACGAGACCGAATCGGGACGAGGATTCCCAACCCTAGTTGGGATTACGAACGCCTAGCAGTGTTCCCAAAAGAGCCAAAATAGAATGTGGACTCAACTTGTAAGACGAGTCACTGATTTTTATATATTTATTTATTCATGTTCTATTTGCTTAAGAATAAAATAAGCTTATCCGGCATAATATTTATAATTCTATATAAAAATAAATATTTGACATATCATATCATCATACATATAATATATATATATCATATATCATATTATATTATATCATATCATATCATATCATATCATTGTATCATATATATATATACACACAGACGACAAGAACGTACACTCTCATAATTTTGAAGTTTATTTAAAAAATAATAATTTGTAAAATTAATTAAAATTTATTAAAATAACAAATAATTTAATAAAATTCAAATTTGTTGAAATAATAAATAACAAAAATATGAATAATATTATGTTTTTTTACATATATATATATACTTCACTTTTAATTTTATAAATTGTTATTGCATAAAAAAAAATTGGTTTTATTTTTAAAAATCATCTACTCCCTCGGCTCATTTTCGTTCATCCCAAAACAAAGTTATCATTTCCTAATTTAGTAACTGTACTGCCTACCTAACCTAATAAATACCCTTCCAACTTACATTATATTACACAAATGTTATTACTTTTATATTACACAATACTAATAGGGTAGTAAACGGTAACCTTGTACCGGGACGGAGGGAGTATAATTTTTTTAATTATTAATATTTTTATTGATTATTTTGATACAGAAAACACAAAAGAAATTTTCAAGCATTTTTCGAGTAGTGTTAGCAACTTTCAATCTAACGGTGAGATTTGTAATCAGATATTTGTAGTTCGACCAGAATTTTACCTAAGGATTTTTGTTGGTTGATATAATGGTGATTAGGAAGTGTTTGCATTATTGAAAGACTCTTATATACAATTTGATCGTAAATAGATTTTCACCTTTGGTCTAGCTACCCGTAATTTTTTTTTATTTAAGGTTTTTCAAATTAAGATTAATTATATTTCTTTTGTATTTTATTTGTCAATATAATTTGGTATCGTTCTCCGTATTATTGCAAAGGGATTGTGTTTTTTTATTAATATATAGTGAAATTTCTACTAAAGCCTATTTTAGTGAAGTTTAAGAAAAATAAATATTTAGATGATTGAGAATATTTTTGAAAATTCAATTAAAAATAAAAATAAATGAATGAGAAAAATATAATAAAATTAGTTGCATTTTTATTATTCTTAAAATGCCTTGTGATATATATATATATGATATATGATATGATAGAGATATTTTTTAAAAATATATGTATATATATTGAAAAATAATACCAAAAACTCCAAAAGTTAAATGTAAAGCCCCACATACTAGAATTTTGATGTACAACAATTTGATTTATTTTTTTATATATTATTACATTTAAAATACCACATTAATATATATATATATATATTAAAAAATTTGAATAAATGTTTTTATATATAAATGTGTTACTTATATACATTTATCAATATTTTCAACAGTTGAGATTCTATGAAAGCCCACATAAATTTATATTCCATAGTCACAACTTTGAAAATCATGTAAATTGACATCTATTCGATTATCTCCCGGCCTAGAATGGCCAATGAATGAATACATAATAATAATAATAGTAATATTTATTTCATCACCTAAGAAATACAGAGCTCAACAAAACGTTACCATGGCTGCTGTTATCATTTTGAGAATGGCTCCCCCAACGGATGAGATAATCTTCATCTTCCCTGTGAGTGAGAGAGACTACACAATATCTATATATATATAGATAGGGAGGAGCTGTTAGTAAACAAGAGCAGAGCGAATAGTAGTAGTAGTCACAAATTTATTTATTTATTTTTCTTCGGAAACTTTAAAGAATGTGTAGGACAAGATCAAGTTGTTGATGCCATCCATTTTCGGATCCGTCTCAAACTCAGGGTCTATGTAAAAGAAGACCTGGATATACCACCATACCAGCTTGATTAATATTAGCAACATTGATGCAGGCTTGGAAGAGAGGCGAAACAACACTCACCGGCATGTCGATCTGTTCCCCAGGAAGAAGACGCTGCTCCTCGAAGCAAAAGCACTGTATTTTGTTGAAATATATGGCTGCCTGCATGAATTTTCGAGGGCACATAAGAAATCTCAAAAGGTTAGCATATGTTGTAGTGTTCAAGTAACAAAATGATTATCTTGGTTGGATCATCAAATGAAATATTATAATAAACTGATAATCTGAATGATGACTCAAGTAGATGTCGATATAGATGGGAAAAATGGGTAAGCAATGTTCAGTTATGTCCACGTAACTAAAATTTAATGTAATCACCTGAAAATGTATTTTATAAACTAGAATATCCATCCCAATAACCATGGCCACTAGAATGGTTTGAGCAAATATTTTTCAATCAGCCTAGGCAGTGTAGAGTAGCATCATTCTAACTTCTAAAGGTCAAATGATACATATCGTGCTTAAGATTATATATACATATATATATGTATAGATTATACATGTGATTTCTTCCTGGAGTCCTAGAAAAAACATTGCGCATCCCAGTTGTTTGATTATTATTACATTTGAAAGATAAACTGGATAAAATTGCCAATGAGTTATTTTACAACATCTTTAGAAAATGAGTACTCAATGAAGAAAACTGCAATGTGTGTAATTATGTCACGATTTTTGTTTTTAACTTTATCCTATCCTCACTCAGTCATGGCATCTTGGCTCTTCGTCAAGTCTAAGGACTTGCATGAACCGAAGGTCCAAATTTCCAAGACAACAACCAAGTTATCTCCTCTTCAAACAAAGGAGGCACACAATGTATTTTAAGCATATTTCGATAGCTGAAATAACCAAAATAACTCCACACAGATAATGGTGCAAACAATTAGGACAGTAATGAAAATGGAAAAAGAAAGTATCCAGCCAAGTAATAATACACTTAAATGCCAAAAATGTATTAGGTTATTTACCTTCATCGGGGTAACATTGTAAGTAGAGACGCCTATTATTGGGGTTGAACTTTTATTTTCAGCAGTGTAAAATGCAAGGGCACTCTCCCCTGGCTTGACTCTCACCTATATTGGAAACAATATACTCGTGATAAACTATAAAAGGCATATACAATCATTTTTAACACTTCATGTCAAATTGAACTTGTATTTGTATAAGAGAAACACAATACTATTCAAATCAACAAAAACACACAGTTTCACAAACAAAAAAACTTGAATAATATATCAAAACATAGAAAATGTAGTGATAGTAAAGCTTCAAAAAGCATAGAATATGTCAGCATCAAATAAGTTTTGTAGTATGTAAACAAAATGTTATCTCTGTTGGAAAATGATAAGTTTGGGTAATAAACACCTCTCTTTGGGTTGGGATAAACTTCCAGGGCATCCCATCTGCAACATCAGCATTGAACTGCACAACAATCTCCCTGCAAGAACAAGAACTCATCCAAGTTTGAAAAAAGATAACAGTAGCCATGTAATTTTCACTTTCCCTATGTTAGAAAAAACTGATGCTCTGGTTGTTTGTGCTATCATACTTGCTTTCGCACTATACAATGTATAGTGAAGTATTTTTCCATTAAAAAGTACCCTATCCAAAAATTATTTCCACTAAAAATCCTATTTTTCATTCTAAAATTTCAAATCTAAAACACTTTATACTACATCCAAATACACCTCTATCTTTTACAATAAACCATGATATATTCTGTCATTTATTGAAAAAATAATAAATGGAACTGATCATATTTCCACCCAACAAAATTCATACCTAGACGTCACAGTACCATCCTTTGCATGCCGTGCAATCTTCTCCTCAACCCTCTGCAAAAAGATATAGATTGCATCGTATGAATCTTTCAACCTCTCCTTGAATGAATTCAATCTTCTCAGTTAGAGATTCCTAAAAACAAATGCATAAGAAAGAACTTGTAAAATGTATGGGACCAAATGAAACATTATCACCTCCAGGCGCTGAACAGTACCACCATAACCTGTAGCTTGACAGAACCTCCGATACAGCGGAACTGCAGCATAGCTACACCCCACCATTGCAAAAACCAATCCCGTCAAATACATAAGCATCTTCTTAGATTTCTTCTCTGTCACAGCATTAGTTGCATATTCTCGCCGACAATTAATAAAACATGAATTTGGCAAATTAAATCTCCTCAACTTTGTTCCATTATTTGACACAAAACCTCTATATCCAAACCCAAATACTGGCGGGTATATGTCACTCTTACTTGGACCTATAAAATTGCATCTCGAACTTACGGAGTCAAGCAAGGATCTGCATTGAAATGTACGGCGATAAACTCATCAGCTATAGAAAGAATAATTAAATTATCAATTATTCACAGTGGCCATAGAGAATTTACTGAAATCATGAATAGTGTGTTTGGATGTACTTTTCCACATTAACTAATTTTTACCACAAATAATCACATATCCTTCTTACATAAATATATACACATTCAACAGCTTTTTCTACAATCATTATCCTATGATCAAAATCAATTCCAAACTAATTCACACTAACTTACAGTCTTAAACTAATCTCAATCAGATAATCATCCTACAATAAGCTCTATCAAATCAAAGATACATATAAAAGACAAACACGTTACTAGTTAATATCGAAATCAATAAACAAATGCAATATTTTCACAGACGAAAATTCTGGGGAAAAAAAGCAGCAGTTGTAAAGAAAACTTTCCGGGAAGAATAATCACCTGGAGAAGGAAGCCTGAGACTGAGACTGAGCCTGAGTACGAAAACCACTGCTACAAGAATACAAATAGATTCCTCTACATGATCGGGAAAACATTTCTGAAAATTCATTTTACAAAAATTATGAGCTTCCTGCGAAGTGAACCCTCCAACAACAACAAAAGGAGACCTCCTTCAACAAAAAACCACTCTCTCACAAAATCTCAAATCCGAAAATCGTAACAAGCACTTCAAATTAAAACGAAGAGGAAAATACCGTATCAACAGCGACGGAAGAGCTCCCAATTCTATCAAGAAGAGAACCACCGGCGTCAACACTCGAATGCTGAGATGAATTCAGAGGTCAATTGGTATGCTTAGATGGCGGATACTGGTTGCTTGGGCAATAATCCTAACAACGGTGAATCGATCGAGTGGCTTCCCTCACTGTGAAAGTTGAGGCACTTCTCTTCGGTCGGCCTTAACGCTCACGAGCACAATCTTACCCAATTCGCTCTTTCTTAGAAAGATCGATTGCGTATTCCTCAGAAAACAAGCCGTAACTAAACCCCTCACCCCTGAGCGAGTTACTTCTCCGATTTCAGGGCAGGATTAATTTTTTGAAAATATATTTTATATTCACATTATTTTTATAAATTTTAAATATTAGAATTTAAAAATATAAATATAAAAAATGGCCTATATTAAAATTGTTAAAAGTAGATTGTATTTGTATTTGCAGGTGGACCGAACAATACCGGAACAAATATACAGGTGACCCAAAATTGGATCGATCAAACCGTTCAGGTCATCTGTCACGAATGGTTCGTCTAGTGTGATTTTCTTATCAGACTTGATTTGCAGGGTATTAGGTCCGTCCTAGCTACTCCCTCCAAATTTCAGTCCAATCCATATGTGGGTATAATCAATTGTAACAAAATTTGTGAAAATGGAAAAGATAGTGAAAAAAAAAAAGAAGATTTCATTATTCATTAAATTTGTTAAATGATGATATATTTGTGAATAAAATATAGTGTGAGCTATAGATATATTTGAAAAAAATAAAATTCTTAATATAATTGTGAGGAATAATGAATTGGTTGTGTTGATAGGATAACATTGTACGGGCAAAAAGAAGAGATATTAGTTCATTCTCAATTGGGTAGATTAGGAGTGAGTATCTTAAGGAAATAGGGTAGTCATTTATTGAGAATTGTGACTCTAATGCTGTTTTGAGATCCCGTGGATACATGGATGTTATTGATGATCGAACTAAGTTAACAATTGTTTTGTACTTTATGTTTTTGTGGTCACCAGTATGTTCATTCTCAATTCGATAGTTCAACAAATAATTAGTTTGAATTTACAATCTTACAGTAGAAGTTGTGTCTATGTTGATGATATGTTGTGCCGTGTTTTTAGTATTAAAATGTTAATTATGTTTATCTTTGAACGAATTTGAGATCAACAATAATAAAAATAATTAATTTTAATATAAAAAATTTGTTGATTTTGATTTTTTTTAATGGAATGAATTTATTTTAAAATAATAGTATTTTATTAAAATTAGTAATATAGTTTCATAAGAAATATAAGTTAATTAAAGATTAAAAATTGAATTGAAATATAATGAATTTATTTATTTTATATTTTTAAATAATTTATATATTTACATTAAATATCAATTATATAAATAATACATTATTGTCATTTTTTTTAATTTTTATACACGGGATTTACTATTTTACATTTAATTAATTAATTTATTTAATTCTTTTATACATAAAATAAAAAGTAATTTTGTCGATTGATAATTAAAAAATTAATTACTTAAAAAATATTTAAATACTAATTAGAACATTAAAAAATGTATCGTGATAGTATAAAAAATAATATTTTATATTAATAATATTTATAAAAAATTATACTAAACATAAACACATACATTATATCAACTCACCTTAAAAATCCAAAGTAGTTAAACCCTAACTTCAAATAAAATTTCTTAGGTTGAATGGGCCAGTATCCTCGGAGCTTGCTCAAGATTTTGCGAAACTTACACGGATGACAAAGCTGGACTTTTCTAGACTCTTCTATCCAAATTCCCCCAAGTTTCTTGTCATCCAACAGAAACCCTCTCCAAAATCGAATTCCTGACACGAAATCGAGCCAGCCAAGCCAAGCTAAGCCAATTGATCATGTTCGGCGTAGTCTTCCCCAACCGGAGTTTCCCTTTGGATATCTCCACCTTCGCCCAAATCGACACTACCCACTGGCTTCTCGACATGAATCACTTCGTCGGCGAATCATACGATTCCATCCGCGAAATCTGCATTTTCTTGCTCAACAGTTTCACACTCCCGCCGGATAAAGCCCTCGCCGTCTACATCCAGTCCCCCGGCAGCGCTTTTCTCTTCTGCGGCGCCGTCACGGTCTCCCGCCCATCCGCCGTGCTCTCGCTCCCCTGGCCGGAGCCAGGCAGCGCCGGCGTCCCGCAGCTGACGGCGGCCGATGCGCAGCCACTGTCGGCGAAGATCGGAGTGTCGGTGGAGGATCTGGCGGCGTTGCCCTCGCTCGACGTGGCGGCGGAACGGAGGATTGAGCGGCTGGCGTTGAAGGTTGGGGAGAATTTGTTCAATTTTATGCAGTCTTTCTGTGGGGTGGATGGGTCGAAGCTTGTTGTCCCCATGGATATATTGGACAGGTGGTTCAAGAAGTTCCAGGAGAGGGCTAAACGTGATCCAGAATACCTCAAAGGTTTTGCCTTGTAGAGTAATTTTGTGAGGTATGGATGGACAATGTTAACTCACTTGAAATCTTAATTTTGATAAAATCAAGAATAAAGTTTGGATAGGCCAATTGCTGTTGATAGAGCTGTAATGTAGTGTGCTGTATGCTTTATTTTGCATTGTTCGAAATCTTCAAGGATAAAAGCTCCCTTTTTTTTATCAATGTTAAACTACATTTTCGAGTTTAGTTGTAGTTCTTTGGTAATGGAATCAGTCACTTTAGTGTGAGAGAACTGCTGCAAAAATAGAATCTTTTGCGTGATGTTGGGAAAGTGTGGTTATGGTGTTATTGAGAAGGTGTGAACATGGCTTGGCTAAAACTACAGTTTTCAGTATACAGAAAATTGGGATTTTAGAGAGTGCAGTTTGTGCAGTAATTTGTTGGTTGATGTCTCCTTTATTTATTGCTTTAGGTGAATTTGAGTTCAGTTTATCGAAATCGTTTTCTAGTTGTGGATTTACTATGCATTTCCTTGTAGATTACCACTGCATGATAGTCAAGCTCATTCTCTCAGAGCTGAATGAGTATTTTGGTCGACAGATAAAATTTTGAAAAAAAATTATTGAACTTAAAAGTTTTCAGAACTTAGATAGAGTGCAATAGTTTTCTCCCCGGAAAATATCACATCCAAACAACTTAAAATATCGATCCAAAATTCATTTTCCACTTAAATTTTCGAACCCAAAACACAGTGACAAAAGTTAGTTTTTATCTTTTCTCTATTATTGTGATTTTAGGTATTAAGGTTAAACTAATTTTCTTGTGGGGAGATGGAGAATGAGTCCAAAGCTCATATCCGAAGATGGAAGAACTCCCGCTTGATCTTATGTTCATTAAGCGTGATAAAATTATAGTTTAGTTACAACATCAGTTTATATGTATTTCACTCAACTTTTGTATTCGACTAAACACTATTCAAGATTCTGATAAGTACAATGGATGATGCTGTGAGTTAGAATTTCTTCTTGAATAGAATAGAGTAAAATGATTCGGTTGTTACGCGTTGTTAATCGAGGATGTATCTCATTGTTACCCGTTGTTTTCTCGGGACAAGTTTATTTTGCCGGACATTGAGTATTAGAGGAACTTGTTGATTGTCGGACCGATGATGGGAAGAGTTGGTTAAATAAAAGGTTAGGTTCCTTCCTTTGTGGCTCTCTAGTCTGTACATAATGTGAGCTTGCTGTAAATTAAAAGATAATAAATTTATGTAAAAATTAAAGAATATTTTGTTATTTTCATCTGTGTGTTGTGTTTTGGTGTGTGTCATTCCTTTACATTTTTATACATTATATTTTATTAATAAATATGAGAATTCACAACAACTATTTTATTGAACCTGATAGTTTGCAAACTAAGATCACTAAGACAAGTCAATTTTAGGTGAATCATGTATGTATGACAAGTAAGATTTGAAGGCGGATTTGAAACTCAAATCATCATTTTCAAATAATGTATTAGCTTGATTGTATTATACTTTTATCGATGATTTGGGCCTCCAATTTGTATGATCCATTCATTTCTTTTGGGCCGATCACTCCTTATTGGGCCGGATCATCTCTCTTCTTGAATCACGTCACATTTATTTTGGTCGAATCCGTCTATTCTTTTTATTCATTTTTGGGTCAAACAGCCCATGAATAACATAGGGATCGATCTAGTACATATATTATTCAATTTTACAGTTGTCGATTTTTATATAATAAATACTTATCACTAATATAAAATATGTCTGAAAAAAAGGAAAATATATATAATTGTGGATTGTAGAGATATTATAAAATTTGCAGTAGAATTAATAAATCTCATTGAATTAATATAATGTCATTGAAATTCACCTACCAAATGTAAATATATATATATAACTTAATATTAAGGAAATAAAATAAAATTGTTGCCATTCAGTTGATGCAATATTACAAGAATTAAAATTAGCAGTATCCCACATTCCAATTCTAAGTATAATATTTATAATAAAATTTAAAGTCGACAATGAACGTTATGTAATTTGAAAATACAGTCAAGATTTAAAATATGAAATACAATGAATCTCAAACTTTGCAAAAAATTTGTTACTATTTTTATATATTTGTTTTTCCTTAAAAGAATATACTAAAGTTTATTAAAAGTGTAAGAAATTGGCTATAAAATACACACGTGAGAAGGATTTAAACAGACAGTCCTTTTTATATTAGTAGTGATTCGAAAGGTTTGCTCCCAAAAGAGAAATAAAAATTAATGTGTCTTCTCAAAGAGAAACTGCTGGCCAATGGCAACTCCAAGAATTTGTCTGAAACCAATGGCTCCACCATAGCCCACCAACACGAAACCCTAATCAATCTTGATGTGTACGTATAAACACACACATATATATATATATATGGCCGCGCATTGGCGTTAACACATAATTTTGTGCTATATAGAAGCATATGTTGTACTTATATATTTTTTTTTGTAATGAAATTATATCATGAGTTATTAAATATGTATAATCTTATTGTATATGTGCTGAATGTCATACTGATTCGACTCAGTCAGCATAGAAATCAGAACGTATATATATATACATGCTTATTTTTATTTTTATGGTAATTTTGTTCAGGGGCGATCCAAGAATGTACGAGGCCTATTGGAAAGAAATCGGAGAGAAGTGCGACGTGAGCATCACAATCCCTATAAATCAATCCATGAGTTATTTTGCCAATTCCAAAAGCTTTTGTTGGTTTTTGGAGCCAAAGCTCGAGGAACAAATCAAGAGGGTTCATACTATTGTTGGCAATGCTGTAGTAGAAGATCGATACATTATTGTTGGGACAGGATCAAGTCAACTTATTCTCGCGGCAATGTACGCCCTCTCGGATCGACTGAATCATCCTAATCCTATCGATGTTGTCGCCGCCACTCCGGCTTATTCGGTTAGCACTTGATGCCCTTAACTTATTATTATGTACAAGGATCATTTTTAAATTTTGTGAAGATGTGAAATAAATTTAAGACTCCTAGTCTATGTCATAATTTGAAAATTTTTAGATTGATATATTTAGTTTGTAGGTGTTGAGGAAATAAGGAAAGAAAACTATGTTAATTGTAATTTTATATATTGTATGTATCCAATTTAAAAACTTTGGGTTTTATAGTTCTTAGAATAAGAAAACTATTAATTGAGTTTTGTGAGTGTTAATTATAATTTGAAAATTTAAATATTTAGCCCTAGTACCCATAAACATAATTATGTTATACTTGGGGAAATTAATTACATACTTAATCTTGTATACAAAGTCAATTATCATTCTTATTTTGTATATTACTAATTCACATATAAATCTTTTTTTATTTTTTATTTTTTTATTTTTATGTATAATTGACCATAAGTATACAACTGAATTTGCATTTAAACGACTATATACAAACCAAAAAATTTCAAGATTAATAAGTTTCGATTGAAGTCCAAAGTATTATACTGACAATTTTATTTATTTTTATGTATAACATTAGTCTCTATACTAATTAAGTCTAGTTTCGATCGTTTTTGCAGTCGTATTCGGAGATGGTTACTTTCTTGCAATCGGGGCTACTAAAATGGTCGGGCGATGCTCGTCGCTACGACAAAGATGGACCGTATATAGAGATGATCACGTCTCCGAATAATCCAGATGGTACTATCAGAGAGCCTGTGGTGTCTAACCACAAAGGAAAAGGCATGACTGTTCATGATCTTGCTTACTATTGGCCTCAATACACTTCCATCACTTCCCCGGCCGATCAAGAAATTATGCTCTTCACTCTCTCCAAATGCTCGGGCCATGCTGGATCGCGTATTGGGTATATTTAATTTTTCGAAAAAATTGCTTATAACTTATGAAACTTCTTTGTAGTTTTGAAAATATTGCGCAAAATCCTCTAAAGTGAGATCTTGTGCAATTTTTTGAATCATGCAATTTTTAAATAGAATAATGCAGACTTTTCGCCTATTTTTTTTTCCATGGATTTCTTAAGAAATAATGTGGTTTGATTTTTATTTTTTTTTTTAACTTTGTTAAAGGTGGGCACTTGTGAAGGATGAAACTACAGCGAAAAAAATGATGAACTTCTTGGTGCTGAGTTCCATTGGAGTGTCGAAAGAGTCGCAGCTCCGAGCTGCTAAAGTGCTGGAAACCATTAATCTGAGTTGCCAAAGTGACAAGCCATTTGAGGTCGAGAATTTCTTCGAGTACAGCTATGGAGTCTTGGCACAAAGGTGGAATAGTCTTCGAGATGTCATTGCCAAGAACAAAGTCTTCAGTGCCCCCAAATACCCCATTCACTACTGCAATTTCTTCAAAAAATTCACCCATCCATGCCCCGGTATACGTCCTTACTAATTCACTATTACTAATTTCTTACAACCTTAATCCACAGAACATATAGATATATATATATGATCATCGATCTACTTGTCTTTTGGCAGCATTTGTGTGGCTGAAATGCAAAAATGGCGTCGACTGCGCAAATTTGCTGAGGGAGTATAAGATTTTGGCGAGAAGTGGCGCGCGATTTGGCAGCGAGGCAGAGTATGTGAGAGCGAGCATGCTGGGGTTAGATGAGGAGTTCGACTTGTTCTTGGAGAGGCTCTCAGCTATAGATTTACTTGATGGATGAATGAGTGAGAAGAGCTTTTAATTAAGTATTTTGGATTATGCATGATTAGTAAAAGTACTATGTTCTTTTCATATATATGATTAGTGCAATATATATATATATATATATATCGAGCTTTTGATCATTGTCGAATTGGAATTTGGAGAGATGATGACAAACTACTTTATGTGATCTTTTTTGACTAATACATATTCTTGTGGTTTTGTTAGCATTCATTACATTGTTGTGTAATTACTATAACTTTTAATTAATTAATGTTGGTAATCCGTTTAATGTTTTACTACGATCGATTGTTGAGAATTTAATTTATGACTAAATTGATAATTTTTCGAACCCGGTAACTTAGTGTGCCTTAACTTAGTGTGCCTTGCCTTATTTATTATATTGTTTATTTTTATTTTATTTATTATCTCACGTTATATTGAATTATTTTCGATTGAACTTAGTACCTTGCAAGTTAGATCGGACACCAGAGCCCTAAAATAATGTAGGTTGGCCGATAATTTATTAAATCTATTAAAATACAAGTTTAAATAATTAGCCAATTCATGTGGAATGCGGATTGCCGTGTTCGGTTATATAATTTAATACATTATATTATATATTTTATAATATAGTTATTATTATCCCAAAATATTATTTTGTGACAAAATCTCTTCAAGTCCAGATTGGAGAAATATGGGCGGTTCGACCGCTTCAACCCACAGAAAGAAACCAGACGGCCCGACCGGTTCAGCCCGTCTGCGTGAACCACGGTCCAGGAAAGAGATCTGATTCAGGACCAGTCCGAAGGCGTCTTTTTTAATTTAAAATTACTCTTTTTTCCTCTTTGAATTGGATACAAATTCAAGTTTATTGTGTTTTTTTGGGTTTTTGGACAGATTTCTACTCTAATTTTATTTTACATTCAAAATATTTCTACAAAATATTTATAAATATAATTAATTATTTATTTAATATTATTTCAACAATTTATACAAATTGTGCGTTCAACAATTTATACAAATCGTGCAACACTAGCATTTATTTATATCACATCAAACTACCATTGTTCCATCAAACTCAAAAACCCAAACCCACAGTATTAAAATTTTCCATTATTCCATTGCTATATTTGAAAGAGTAAAAAAAAAAATATATATATATATATAACTATTCTTTTACATTCAATATTTGTTTTTTTCAAAAAAAACATCATTAATTTTATTATATATTTTATTAATTATTAACTAAATTTTTAAAATATTTTCTTTTTATTTTTTAATAAAAATATCCATTTTTTTTTTAATGGCGGCGGTATAAATTAATGGCACATTGGTTGCCGCACTATACCGATCAAAGCCAAAAATTAATTTAAACATTCCCAACCGACAGTTCAATTATAAAAGGCTTTTCTTAATTAGTCATTACAAGACATGTACAGTTGAGTTCAGACAGGATGCATAAAATATTCATGCCCTGAACGACGACTCTGCTACAGGCTGTCTTATTTTTTGGAGTACTGATTCCTATTCCCAGAATTTGTCATTTTACTTGCAAAATTTGTGGAATTCTAGAAAATTATTTAGTAAAACTTTGATCTATCATTGACCTAATTTAAAAAATTCAATTAAGTTTTCTCTAAATGTGCAACTTGCCCTAGAATCTAGGGTTTCACTATCAAATAACCTTAGAGCTTATTTTAGTTTATTCTGATTCCTGGGAGATATTAGTGATTTTTTTTTTAAAAAAAAATTATTTTAATAAAGATAATTTTATTTTATTTTTTATAAACAGTGAATTTAGTTTTATTAATGCAAGTTAATCTGCAATTTACATACCCTATACAGATCTCATTCCTCTTCCCACTGCAAGTATTTATTCATGTCTGTATCTGTCCCTTAATTGCCAATGGCACAACAAGACCATGGATTCATCTTCTCAAACCAAGCAAGAATTAAATCAAACCTTCATCTCATTCAAATTCCAAACCCTAACAGTAGGGGAATCTTCACCATCGAATTATAAATGCGAAAAAAACATGTCGAAAAGCCACAAACAAGGAAAACAGATCACTACATCGGAGTCAGAAAGAGGCCATGGGGAAAGTTCGCCGCAGAAATAAGAGATTCGACGAGGCATGGGATTAGGGTTTGGCTCGGAACATTCGATACTGCAGAAGATGCACCCATGGCCTACGACCAAGCCGCGGTCGCAATGAGAGGTCCTTCAGTTGTAATGAATTTCCCATTGGAAAAAGTGTTGGAATCTCTTGCGCAGATGAACTACAGCTGTAAGAAGGGCTCGTCGCCGGCGAAGGCCTTAAAGGATTCCCATAAAATGATAAGTAGATCAACCAACAGAAGGAGACAAGAGGTTATGGAAATGGATAAGGGTTTGGTAGTTCTTGAGGAATTGGGATCAGATTTATTGGATGAGCTTTTGTCCAACACTTTGCCAAGTAATTAAAAATAAATCAAACAAGTTTATTTTTGTTCATTTGATTTCATTTGTGTTCTTGGGTTTAGAAGATTTTGAGTTTCATGTCATTCAATCCGTCTACTTAATATTATTTCTAGCTATTTTATTTTATGTGTATATAATTAGGAGTTTGTGAAATATAAATAGAGAGCAATGTCTTTTTCTATTTCTATTTCGAGCTACCAAATGGACATCATTGTGGTTAATTATTGAAGTGCAAATCATTGAGATACATATGATATTATTGAGATTGAAATGTTGATCTTGTAGAGGCAATATACACACATGCACACATAAGCATCACTATACCAATCTCACCAATAAAGACACATTCTCAGGAACTAGCTTATGAATCCTCGAGGGCAAAATGCCTGTAAATTTTTAGATATTTAATAAATAAATATATAATATATACTAATATTAATGAGAACTCAATAAGTTGATATATTAACCTATAAATAGTATGCTATTCTATACATTTTCCTTTTTTTTTTTTTTTTGGCCAAATCTCTAATATTATTCAACCCGAGAAAAGTGGAAATGATTTAATAAATGTAATGATAATTCTTAAAGTTGTTCTTTTAATTCATATTTATTCTTTGAACTGAAATCATTCGGATATAATTTCGTCTATTTTATTGGATTTATCTTTGTACAATAACAAACACAATGACAAAAAAAAGACAATATATAGACATAAAAGAAAGAAGAAATTCATATTTTTCCCTTGAGTTAAAGTTTATTATTAATATATAATGTATTACTCCCTCCGTTCCAAATAATTATTGTATAATAAAAATAATTATAGATTAAAATTGAGATAACTGATTAGTATTATTAAAATTAAAAAAATTATAAATTAAAATTTTTAAAATAAGATTAAAATGTATTATTACTTTAAAAAAAAAGAAAAATGATAAAATAAATGAGGCAGACGAAAATAGAAAGATGGACATGACAAGTGGGCGAATGAGGTATTATATTTATAGCTAGATTTATTGGTACAAATTATTATAAATAAAAATAGTATAGAATAATGGGTTTGGGGCCAAGTCCTTCTATGCACACTCCACTGTTTTGTTGTTTTTGTGCAATTCTAACAATCTGAGGACCTAAAGATTTTTATATCATATGCCAAAATTGAAAGAAAGGATTTTTGTATTAATACTGTTAATTAAGAAATAATCTTCACAATGGTTTGACTGGAATTCTGCTGCAAGAACTCTATTGGATCCACGATTGATGTTGACATTGAAGACCCATCCAACGAGTTTGGATCGGATGCAACAACGGAGCAGGGCTTGCCAAATAAGAAAGATACATAAATATGTTTGTTTTGTTAAACTTGAGGTAATTAAAACTTAAAAACAACATATCTAACAAGGCAAAAGTTTCAAGACCTTTTAGCAGATGTAGTATAAAGAAAGATCATCATTGTCGTCACCAACAAGAGTTATCCCTCGCGGCCTGACAAAACTGATATATATATTTTTTTTTATGATGTGAGAATCAACAATTGTTATTCGTTGAATGTACTTTGGATAAATTTTTAGTCGAATTTAATAGCTTTCAACTTAGATCAGATAAAACAAATTATTATAGACGACCCATATTTGACAAACAAGACCTGAAACTTGACGAAGAAATAGTAGTTAGAATATGAAAACCAATTTATGTGTAATATTTTGTAATTATAATTTCCAGAAGTATGATGCCCAAATATGTAAATATAAATAACAGGAGGACTTCGATTATAATTAGCCAAGTAACCACGGCTGCGCTGTGCCGGCAGAAAAGTCAGACACGATAGAGTAGACTCCAAATTAAAATATATTCAATTATTTAGTACTATTTATTTATTTATTATAATACTCCCTCTGTCTGGTGTCTGCTACAATGTAGACATGATATTTCAAAATGGTGTAATTAGTAGAAAATTTAAAATATATTAGAAAAATAATTATCCTATAATATAAATAATTATAAATTAAGATTAAGATAACTAATTAGTTTAATTAAAATTAAAAAAAAATTAAAAAATTTAAAATAAAATTAAAATATGTAATCATTTTTAAAAAAATTGAAAGTGACATAGTATGTGAGACGGACAGAAACGACAACGTGGACATGCTACCAGAGGAGTAATTATTATGTTATTATTACTTATTAATGTTGTGGACACCTCGCCTCCCATTCCTACAGCTACTTGTAACAGTTAAGGCCCATCATCCCCAAATACAATATACATTTACATATATATATATATCCCTGAAAAATGGAAGCGGCAAGGTGGCTGGCCGCGGCGGCGGTGGTCGCCGCCGTGTGGGTGGCGGCGAAATCGGAGCCGCAGATCAATCTGCTGAACAGAGGATGCAGCCAGTATAACGCTACGAATTCGAAGAACTTCTTCGAGAACCGGAACGCCACGTTTGCAGCCATGGCGGCCCAGCTTTCGACCGGCGGAGGGAGACGGTTCGCCACCGCACAGCAGGCGAGGTCGTCGGACCCGGTTTACGGGATGGCACAGTGCAGGAACTACCTGTCTGACGACGACTGCTTCGCTTGCTACACCGCCGCCGTCGCCGAGATTCGCAGCTGCTCCGCCGCCAATGGCGCTCGCGTTATCTACGACGGCTGTTTTCTAAGGTAAATTTGATATATATATATATATATTTAATTGATTTGTTAATTATAGTTATGTTTAATGAATGCTTTTTATTTAAGTTTTCATATTTAAAAAATATAATTTCATTTCCGAAAAAAACGTTGTGTGTTTCGTATTTTTCATGTATTTATTCGTCTGGAAAAGATGTGTTAATATTTTTAGATATATGTTTAATAAAAGGATGTAGTTTTGGTTAACATAGAAAATGATAAGATTTTTTACTAACTAAAAAAATAAAAGTATTTGTAAAAGACAGAATAAAATATACTCCCTCCGTCCCAAACACCCTGCAACTTTTTTTTTTTTTTTTGTTTCATTTCAAACTCACTGCAACATTTTTAAATTTAAAAATAATTAATAATATTTATATAAATATTATATCAAATTACCATACTTAATACTCCCCACCTAAATTCCGGTGTCAAATACAAATATTGCACAATATTTGGGACGGAAAACGGAAGGAGTATATTTTTTTTATGAAAAAAGTCAATATAATATTTATGATGAAAAATACTGCTAACAAACACACATCCAATTATGATGTACGTTAGGTGTCCCTACATCAGTAAATAGTGGTTATTAGAGGGCATCTTGTGCAATATCCTCAACAAAGAATTTGGCCAAAAATGTAAGCAATAGAGAGCAACCATTTTGTGCTGGCTATGGATAAATGCCGGCCTGGATATTAAATTATTAATAAATATTAAATACTATTGATGTTGATACCGATCCATTTCACATGAGCTGGCATATTTTTCTAAAGGATTCTATTTCTCTCTCTCTCTATATATATATATAATATATTTCTTGAATTCTAACTACTAAAGTGTTTTAAAATTTGAGAGCAATATATTCTTGTCGTAGATAACTAAAAATAAATTAAAAAAAGAACGTGTAGATAACTAATTAACTACAAGTATTTTTTATAAATTGCATAATAAATATATTATCCATATTGTGTGTTTCTTTGTGATTTAAAAATTAAGTTTAAATTTTAAATTCTAGTTTGATAATGATTTGATATAATTTTGTCTACGATAAAAAGTAATGAAATAAAATTGGATTAAATTTAAAATACTTCATAATATACAAATATATTTAAATTTGTCATTTACTTTATAATTGAAATCCGATATTAATTCAAATAAACTAAATGTATAGTATTGAGTGACTAAAATTTATTGATTCAAAATTTATTAGAACAAAGCATTTTACAAAAATAAAAAATAAAAAAAATCCAAAAGTATTGCGTAGAAATTAATAAAATCTTCAGTTTACTCAAGGATCGAATTTACTAAATATTGATGAACTCTAAATTTGTCGAACTATTTGCACTTACACGTTCTTTTATTCTAAACTTACTTCTATTAACTTACGTGCATGTATGAATCATGATGTAATATAAACAAATGTACTTAGATTTGTTTTTTTTTTCATAAGAGGTACGAGAGCAACAATTTTTATAGTGAGACAACACAAATCGGAAATGAACATATTTGCAACAATATTACCGTGCCTCAAGAAGCAACATTCAGAGAAAAGGGTCTTATATTGATACAAAATCTTGTAAAGGCGACTCCGAGGATTAATGGCTACTTCGCTGCAACTAAAATGATAGTTGAAAGTGGTTCAAACTCAACCATTTATGGGATAGCACAATGTGTTGAAACAATAAGTCAAGATGGCTGTCGAGATTGCTTAGTTGTCGCGATTGAGAACATTGAGAGTTGCTTGCCCAATACCGATGGAAAAACTATCGATGCCGGCTGCTTTCTTCGATATTCAAATCATCAATTTTTCCCGGAAAATAGCACAATGGATATCACACCTTACTTAGGAGAAGGTAACTATTTTTTTTTATTTTTTAATGTCAACGCATTAGGGCTTGATTTATTATGATTGGATTGATAGATTGTTTTTTGTGTATTAAACACATTTAGTGCCTAGGATAAAAATATGATAGTATTGGGAATAGCCTATAGATTTGATATTCAAGGATTGTAGTCTTGTAGGGAAAATTGTAAAAAATATCTGCGCGATCACACGCGGTCAAATGATAGAAATATCGACTTTTGCAGATATGTAGGGTATATTTTGCTAATGAGATAGATACATGACAAAAATGATAACAGAATATGCATGAGAGATATTTTTGTGCAATTTTTTCCTAGTCTTGTGCGATATGCATAGATTGAAAAATAGAAAAACAATCATGAAATAATATGCATAGTTCTTGAACCACAATACTCTTATAAAATTTGTGTGTAAACACCAACAAATAAGATATAATTTATCATATATATATATATATATATATATAAATCATTGTTTCATTTTTTATTTTCAGGGAATTCATGGAGGAAAAAAGCAATTATTGGGGGTGTTGTGGGAGGTGTATGTCTTATGCTAATTTTATCAGCTTTCTTCTTATGGTATAAATTTTCAAGAAAGGCTAAGCCCACGTCTAAAAGAGGTAATCCAAATTTTAATACTTATTAATTTTCTTCATTTGTTTGAAAGAAAATGTAAAATCTTTAAGATCCAATAAATTCATTGATTATTTTTATTTTCTTTTTTCTTTTAATGCTAGATAATATATTGGGTGCAACCGAGTTACAAGGCCCAAATATTTATAGTTACAAGGATTTGAAAGTTGCAACAAATAATTTTAGTGAGGAAAACAAACTTGGAGAAGGAGGCTTTGGCGATGTATTTAAGGTAAGTTTGTTCAACACACTAACTCTAAACAATCAACATTCTATCACAAAACAACATATAATGTGTTTTATAGAAGCATGTGGTATATAAGTTATACTCCCTCGTCCCAATAGAGTTGTTTTGTTTTTTCATTTTCGTCCGTTCCAAAACAATTGTCTTATTTCCGTATTTAGTAATCGTGGTTCCACTTTATGACAAAAATTTTTTTTTTTTTTTACAAACTACTTCTAATTATTATTATAACTACTTTTTAAAATCATTCGAAAAGTAAGGGTATTTTAGTCTTTTATATTTTACTTTATACCCACTTTCAATTAAATACTATTATTTCTTAATTCTCGTGCCCAATCCCCATAAGACATCTTTTCTGGCACGGAGGGAATATATTGTATTGGGCTAAAATTACAATATACTGTTAGACATAAAATTATATAATGTGCTGTAAAAATATGTGTTATTGGATATACAATATTCTTTTTATAAATATGTGCTGATTGAGTCAAATTAGTATCAGCACAATAACTAAAGTGATTCTATTATCATTCGAACAACATAATTTTAACAAGGTTTTGTTGTTATAATTGAGCAATCTTAAGCTCAAATTTAAACTCCAAATGATCCAATAAAAAATAATTGTTTTGACCGTTAAATTGGGCTTGATTAAGTATCTCAATAATCATAATAAAATCAACTTTAAATTGAGTTTTCAAATGTATATATTTTCATTTGTTCAGCAGCTGAATATTTTAGCATATATTTAGGGTTTTTGTTTAGACAAATGGAGCTTTAATTTAAATTTGAAAAATCTTGAGCAAAATTTACATGGCATTAAGTTTTATTCATATTAAAATTCTTTCAATAACAAAGTCAACAAAATTTAATTGAGTCCATCAAGCACAATCATAAACTTTCAAAGTACACAGTTGAGTAGATTGAGCTAAAGTTTAATCTATGTATTATTAAAAACTCAATGTGCATTTTTCTTCGGGCGTAGAAATTCCTAGTTTCATAATATGGACTTCACTAATTTTCATTATATGTTTTTGTATCTTACATACCTATGATTCTCTATTATCAGGCCACACTTAAGAACGGGACAATTGTTGCAGTTAAGAGACTCGATATAAGCTACAGTAGAGCAAAGATAGACTTCGAGAGTGAAGTAAGGCTTGTCAGCAATGTCCATCATCGCAACCTCGTACGCCTCTTAGGATGTTGTAGCAAAGGATCCCAACTACTTCTCGTTTACGAGTACATGGCAAACGGAAGCCTTGATAGATTCCTATATGGTAATTCAACTTTTTTGTTATATAACATATCTTAAGGCAAAATTTCTTATAAACCACTTTTGGGTTTAGAAAGTCGACATCATATTTTCTATGTTTAGAAAATTTATCGCATAAAATTTTCTAAAAATTACTTGAAATTTTCATATATTTTTTAAAATATTGTATAGAATCCCCAAAAAAAGGATTTTGTGCGATGTTTTGAATACATAAGAGAACTATTGTTGGCTTGCAGGCGATAGAAGAGGGGAACTTACATGGAAACAACGCTCCGACATACTACTAGGCACGGCAAGAGGCCTAGCGTATCTACACGAACAATACCATGTATGCATTATACATAGGGATATAAAGCCGAGCAATATTCTACTAGACGACGATTTTCATGCCAAAATCGCCGATTTTGGATTGGCACGGCTTCTACCAGAGAACCAAAGCCATGTTAGCACAAAGTTTGCCGGGACATTGTAAGTTCATCCTCATCTTTATCATTCGCTTTTTTGTTTATTTTGATTTTTAGAAAATAAAGTTGCCTCAAATTTGAATTTACTTTTAAAACAATAGTAAAGTTAGAAATTTCTAACATACTTGAATTCAGGGGTTACACGGCGCCCGAATATGCAATTCACGGGCATTTATCCGAGAAAGTTGACACCTATAGCTTTGGCGTAGTCATTCTCGAAATCATTAGTGGTCGGAGGAGCAGCGATAGGAACTCTGAAATCGAAACTGAATATTTACTCGATGAGGTATGCACTAAACATGATGATTAGAGACTTTTTCAATATATATATTTATTTATTTATTTATTTATTAGGACGTGTGAGCCTTGAGACATAAATGTTTGAACTCATCGTCTCTCTCACTATCACAAGTTTACTCACATTATCAGACCATTAGTTTCATGACTTTTTTTCAATTTATTTCTGAAAATAAAGATAGTTGCACTTTCAATTATTATTAAGTAGACAATAATTTATTTTATTTTTTAAAAAAAAACATTTCACAACATTAAATCTCAGCTTTTAGAACTTTTCATAATTAAATCATTTCATTGGTTCTATAAAATTCTTAAATAATTTGTAATGAAATTTTGTGATCTTATGACTACAAACTATAGATTACAATAGAACTTGAATAAATACTATATATCACTGTTAGAGTATTTCACATCGAAATTAATGTAAAAATTAATTTTAAGTTGAAATTTCGGATCCTTTCTTAACAAATTGTCTTCACAAACTAATTAATATAATGATGCACAGGCTTGGAAGTTGTACGAGAATGGGGTGCATCAACAGCTAGTAGACGAGACACTGAACAAGACCGAATACGCTGCCGAGGATGTAAAGAAAATGGTGGAGATAGCGCTGATTTGCACACAATCACCGCCTTCGTCGAGGCCAACAATGTCTGAAATCTTGGTGACACTTCTAAGTGCAAGAGGTAGCGATGCTATCCAAGTGAATCCGCGACTACGACCTCCTTCGACCAATGCTAGCCGGTTTATCAGCGAGGCTGCATCATCTAACAATTCGGCGCCCTTGCCCAACTCCACCTCCATTACCCTCTTGTCGGGACGTTAAGTAACGTTACCTAATTAATTCGAAACTAGTCTTTACATTTAAATGATCGACTACTCTACTTCTTCCTAATTATGAATAATGGATTTATTCAAATAATATTGCAAGTGAAAAATATTGTTAAATCAATGTTGAGTAGGTCACGACCAACATATTATTCCAATAAAAACTTAAATCAATTTTAAATCACAGTCAAATCATTTGATATGCCTTATAGTTAGCAAAATATCATGATACCATTAATAACCCTTACAAAAATGTACTTTTTACCATTTAAATAATCATCGTTATATTAAAAATCTTAGCACTGACATATATTGAGCAAGTGATGAGCAACGGATTCATGGGCTTTTCTTTCACTTATGATTTAAATTAAATTAATCTGCTGGGCATGCTGAAAACAAACTCTGGGCCTTTCTACATTTGGGCCTTGTCTGAAAGCTCAATCTAACAACTTATAAAGGAGTGTTTGGAAAGTCCATTTTGTACTTAAAATATGATAATTTATAAATTAGGTGATGTGACGAAGAGAGATATATATTTTATTTTTTTATTTGGATAATGTGAGGGGATAAAGTGTAGGGTAGAGATTAAATATAATTAATTATTTCATATTTTGAAAATATTACGGGGTGTTTGGAACATACCAAAAAAGAAATATTACAGGGTGCTTGGGACGGAGGGAGTACTTATTTAGATTTTTATAGTAAATTAAAAAATAACAATACTCCATCCGTTTCAAAATCATAGAGATATTTGGAATTGACACGAGAATTAAAGAATAATAGTATTATATTGATAGTATGAGTGAAAAAGTGTTTAAAAAATTGAAATGTCATTACTTTATGTAATTATTGTGAAAAAATTGGGATAGTTTTGTAAAAATGTGGAGAGTTAGTTACCACAAATGAAAATGAGACTATTGTTTTGGGACGGATGGACTATTTTATTGGTTAGTGAAAATGTAAAATGATTTTAATATTTTTGTTATTTGTACTTTATGTAATGATATTAATGTAAAATGAATATTTCTAAGTGAGAAAAAAAAATAATAAAAATAGTACTTTCAGTTGGAACATAAAGGTGAATTTGGGATTATAAGACTATGAATTCAAATATTCAACACCTCCAAGGCTGGTTTGTCATGATCTGCCTAGTATAATTTAATCTAATTTATATTTAATCAAAAATTTATCCAAAATTCACTCGAAAAGTAACAACTGCGAATTTTTTTATCCTCAAATAACTATATATATATATTATCTTGTTTAAAATATTAAAATATATTAATTATTAATTATTATTTATTATATTAGTAATGTCCAAAATATGGGTGCCCACAAACTCCAGTAGCAAGAAATTCCGGCAGAGATGAAGACAACCACCATCCACTTGAATTTTAATAATCCTTCCGTATGTATCTTGCAATTTATTTATTTTATTTTATTTTGTCTAAACACAATATATTTATATATATTTTAGTATTTATAAATCTCACTGTACATTACAAATACTATCATATTTATACTCATTTACAATATCAATTATAAGAGTAAAATTTTTTACTTATCGAAATTACTACTAACTATCTTTAAAATATAATATTTATTAATTTTATTAAAAAAATAAAATATATATTCTTCGAGTGGAAGAGGAGTATTACCCTATATATGAAACAAACCCCAAAAAGCCCAAATTTAAGCAGTTTCAAATTTGGGCCCACTTTCGATTTGATACAAGTCAAGATTGGGTGTCCAATTATGAATTAGTATTACTTTGATTAGTAACATTTACATATTCTAATATTAATAATATATATTTTAAATTTATTATTATTCTAATAATATATAACATTTACATATTCTATTAAAAGGGTAATAGGCTAAAAGAATATATATTCATTTAAATGACAAAATTAACATATCAACCATGTGATTCAAACAATATACTCCTTTATTTTAAATTAATCAAATTCCGCTTATAGTTATGATATGATACGATATGATATAATAAGCGGGTTTATAATTATGCAATCATTTCTAAGGTGTATGGTGTGTAATAATTCCTCTGTCCCTTAACAATCTATTCATTTTTTTATTTTGGTTTGTCCTATAACAAAGTATTCATTTTTTTTTAATTGTACTATCTACCTAACATTTCAAATACTTTTTCAATTTACAATATATTACACAAATATCATTAGTTTTATATCATACAATACTAATAGAGTTAATATAGTCATTTTATTTTTATTTCTATTTTATTTTAATATAATATTAATATTTCTAAAACTTCGTATAGAAATAAATAGATAGAAGAGAGTATAAATATTTAAAAGAATTTATTTACTTTTTGCATGCCATGATTTGATTTAAAAAAAAAAAAAAAACAAACAAATAAACAGGCCTCATAAATATTACTCCCTCCGTCCCACATATCATGTCCATATTGCTGTTTCTGTCCGTCCCATGTACCATATCACTTTCCTTTTTTGGAAAATTATTACATACTTTAATCTCATTTTTAACTTTTAATTTTTTTTTAAAAAAATTTAATTAAATTAATTAGTTATCTTAATTTTAATTTATAATTATTTATATTATCGATTATATCCCTCCTAAAATACCGTGTCTACAATGTAGCAGAAAAAGTAGGTAGGACGGAGGGAGTACTGTTTTCAAGTAAAACATAAATAAATAAATAAATAATTGATTTATTAAAATAAGAAATAAAAAATAAAAGCTGGATTGGACTTCACGACACATAATAATTATGACAGTATACACATAAAAACGAACTTTCAAACATAAAAATGAATTTATCGTACATATGACCATCAAATTAAATTTACATTGTAAGGATAAGAAAAATCTTTAAGAATCTCCAAAGTCATAATACAACAGTTAATGGTAGAGAATAATTGCAACGTTGGTTGGTGACTAAGAAAGGTTTTTTTGTACCTTCATTTATTATTATTATTATTATTATTATTATTACCACGCTCTCCGAATATATGATCAATTTATTTTCAACACAATTTTTTAGATACCATATATTAGTAAGATATTAATAGTAAAATAAGATATTATTTTTTATATGAGTAGTATTGTTGGTATTTAAAAAATATGAATTATTATACATATGATTAAAAGAATTTCAGAAAAATGTATTTAAATATTTTTAGTATTATATATAATAGTAAAAGGAGTATTAGATGGTCCTGTGTATAAAATGTTATGAATTTAATTAAATTAATTTTTATTTATTAAATATATTTTAGATAAATAAATTTATTAAAAATAAAAATTGATCATATGTCTTGTTTTGCAACAAATCAAAAAAGAAAATAAATTATCTGTTCGAGAATATAGGTAGTATAATTTTACAAAATTTACTAAAATAGGAAACAAATTATATAATTTGAACAGACAGAAATAACAAAATGAATAGCTTTAAACGAATGAAATATTGTGAAAAAAAAAAATACTCTATTTGTTCCACTTTTTTGTTGATGTTACCGTAAATACTTAAATTTTGGTAAACTATAATTACTAAGTAATTAAGAAATGTATTATTTATAAATTAAGATACATGAATAATTTAATTAAAATTAAAAAATATAAATTAAAAAATTTAAAATAAGATTAAAATATACTATTTCCGTTCGGTTGTAAGGGTTTCATTTTTTTTTTTTATATTTGAATATTAATTATTATATCAAAACATAGTATAAATTAAGAAAAAAAATTGTAAAAACACTTTTATCAGTGCCTTATAATACTAATATAAATATAATGATATTTTTAATATTAAATATAATAACGCAAAATGTAAATATGACCCATAAAGACAGACGGAAAAAATATAATTATATTTTTTTAAAAAAAATTATATAAGCCGGTCAAAATAAAAAACTAACATTTTATATTAGACAGAAAAAAAAAATATATATTTTTTGAAATTATATAATTCAAATATAAAGTTTGTATAAAAGAAAATGCGATAATAAAAGTAGTCCACAAATAAATAAAAGAAAAATGGAAAAACCTACGTAGATGAGAAAAAGGCAAAGTAGAGCTAAAATGAAAAAAAAAAAAAAAAAAAAAAGAAAAAAAGAAAAAAAGATTGAAAGATAATGTAGGTATGAATGTGTGTGTGTGTATGTAATGTGACAGTGGCGCGCTTTAAATGCGGAGTAGACAATTCAGTCAGCGACTTTCGTGAAGGACAATATTGTCAGTCTCAACCATCATGCATTGCATTGCATGGATCATCCATACATATATGACTCGATCGATGTGATGCCTAAATCATTTTCATTTTTATTTTTATTTTTATTTTTATTTTTATTTTCAATATATATATAGAGAGAGAGAGAGAAAGAGGGGAAAGGAAAGCAGCAGTCCCCATCGACCTAGGGCAGTGGGATTGCCAATAAATACAACTGCAAACAAACCACAATTCTCTGTTCTCTCATTATTCATTCATTCGCTCCAGCTCCAGGGACCCCAGATCCCGCTTAATACTCACCCTCAATTTACTAACAATGTGATTTTTTTGGTTGAATTTCAAAAAAAATTAATTTAATTTTAATACTCCCTCCTAGTCCCAGATACTATGTTCATGTTGCCATTTTTGTCCGTCCAACATATTATGTCACTTTCTTTTTTTGAAAAATGATTACACACTTTAATCTCATTTTAAATTTTTTAATTTATTTTTTTTAATTTTAATTAAACTAATTAGTTATCTTAATCTTAATTTATAATTATTTATATTATAAGATAATTATTTTCACTAATACATTTTAAATTATCTACTAATTACACTCCTCCTAAAATACCGCATCTACAGTGTAGCGGACACAGTATCTGGGACAGAGAGAGTATTAAAATAATATTTTTTCTGTGCACACATAAAGTAAATAATTATTTTTGAATCGATCTTTAAAAAATACTCCCTCCGTCCAGCTAGAAAGTATACATGTTTCTATTTTGGGACATCCAATTACAAAGTAAATATTTCATTAAATACCTTACTTTTTACCACAAATATCCCTACTTTACATCACATCATTACTTTTACACCAAAAAGCAAGGGCAAAAATATCATTACACTACTTTTAACTA